CACTGTTTCGGGCTGCTGTACATCCAACTGCTGGCGAGCCAGTGCCATGCGGATGACGGTACTCATGGAGCCGACATCCGCCCCCCCCCGAGGATGCATGATCTGAGGTACAGGAGCCAGGCCCAGAAGCCTGGGACGGGCCCTCTCCTTCATACTCATTAAATTGAGTGGCTGAAGCTGCCAATGAGAACACATCGTCCTCTGGAATCAGTTCAGGCATGGGTGGGCTGGGTGGACTGGGTGCAGCGGCGTGCTCTGTACGGACACCAGAATGGAAAGCCAAGAGGATTGACTTCATCTGGGCAACCTCAGTAGTGAGTCGGTCCACCCTAGAGGACAGCCTATCAGGCTTAGTCCTTTTCTTGGGCGGGGCACCTGCAGCCTCTGCTGCCCGACGCCTAGGACGGGTAGGTTGGGATGTAGTCGACTGTGCAGGGGGAAGGCCACCCTCAGTCAGTAGTTCAACCCTGGCTAGTCTAGCAGCTCTTACCGCACGAGGCATGATGGTACAATTCATGCACGAGTCCTCCGAAAGGCCCTCCCTCAGATGCTCGAGGCCAAGACAAGAGGGGCAAAGGTCATGGCCATCCTCTGGTTGCAGAGAAGCCATACAGGTGTTACAGCCGTTAAACATAGCACCACTCTTAGGGGAAGCACTCAGCTGACTGACACAGAAACCAACTGTGTGCAAGGAGAGGGGAGCGGAAACACTCTCTTCACTAACGCTGTAGTAAGTTAGCTATGAGCCAGAGCACTCGGCTAACTGGAGGATGGCACAGGAACCAATTGTGCGCCGTGGAAGGGCGAAGACACTCTTTCACTAGCGCCGTAACAGTTAGCTTGAACGGGAGCACTCAAACTAACTGGACGATATACAGGTAAGGAATTAAATGTCTGTAGTGAGAGGAGGGCGGAGACGCCCTCTTCACTTAGTGTAGTAACAGTTAGCTTGAACGGGCTAGCACTCAGCTAAATGGACGATAGAATCAGATAAGAAACCAATGTATGTAGTGAGAGGAGGTGCGGAGACGCTCCTTTCACTAGTGCAGTAACAGTCTAGCTTGAACGAAAGCGCTCAGCTAACTGGACGATAGAATCAGGTACGATAGAATCAAATGTTTGTAGTGAGAAGAGGGCGGAAACGCTCTCTTCACTAGTGCAGTAACAGTTCGCTTGAACGGCTAGCACTCAGCTAACTGGACGATAGAATCGGTTAAGTAACCAAATGTTTGTAGTGAGATGAGGGCGGTAGACGCTCTCTTCACCAGTGCAGTAACAGTTAGCTTGAACGGCTAGCACTCAGCTAACTGGACGATAGAATCGGTTAAGTAACCAAATGTTTGTAGTGAAAAGAGGTGCGGAGACACTCTTTTCACTAGTGTAGTAACAGTTTAGCTTGAACGAAAGCGCTCAGCTAACTGCGCAGTGACAATTAGCGAGAGCCCTCGGCTAATTGTATACAATTATCTCATTAGTTTGAGAATATATAGCAAAACCGGTAGCGCCGGCTGACGTGCAGGAGCGTCCGCTCTTTACCGATCCGGAGCTCCTAAGATCCGAGCGGTGAACACCGCGGTCCCCTCCCTTGGGAGGACGGACAGCTAGCTCGTCGCAGCCTTTGGAGGGCGAGCGTCTTTCTAGCCCGCAGCTCCGATCTAACGATCACAAGGCTACAGATAGCGATGAGCTAGGATCTTAATTGTTCAGTAAGCTAGCTTTGGCTTCTACTCATAAAGTAGTAACCTACGCTGCGAGAAGATGAAAAGGACTGAACTCGTCGACGGCACCGGAACTTATGCCCTCCGGGTCGTACGAGGTCACACGTGACTTTGTTGATATAAATATTCGACCTACGCATGCGCGAGACAGAAGATATCCAGTGCTAAAGCACCGCCTCTGGCGGTCAGTAGGTATGAAATAGAACTGTTTTTTGGGGGCAGACCCCCTCAAAGAAAAAAATATATACACGCATACAAGGTCATCATCTTAACAATTTGTTATTCTCATCGACTCATCCGTGAGCAGAGCATCAAGTTGGCATGTATATTACAGCTGAATGCGGCGATTACTATTTTGTTCAGCAAAACGCCTCACAAACTTATTAAGATCAACAGCTGTAGTGCGTTTTGATTCCATGCTAAGTACAGCCAAACTTGACATTCTCTTCTCTTTCATTCCTTCAGTGCTTGGGTCCGAAAGGCTTCTCGTTTTGCGCCGTCCCCCCGTTCAAGTGAATTCGCCACCAATCGTATTTCCACTCTCGCGCTAGGACCGGGGGAGGGGTTACATGACGTGCATCTTGTGCTGCATTCACTTGCACTCGGACATTAGAGACTTTCTCTCATAAATGTCCGATGAGCCACAACTTTTCTTTCAAAACAAAGATGCCAACTGGGGTGGCAGCTGGGGTGGCAAGGCTATTGTTTAGGGTGGCAGTTGCCACCCCATGCCACCCCGGTAGATCCGCCCCTGGGAGGAGCTATAACCGAGGATACACTGATGGGTCTTCCACGGCTCCTTCGTGGATGCATTTCCGGGAACAGAGATGTTTCAAAGCGTCGTGACGCACGGCCGGACTTATCTCAGCCAATGACAGCTCTGCATGCATCCCCTGGATATTATTTTATTAACTGCTCTCATCGCAACGCGATGTTTACAGAGAGAACAGCTGTGAGGTCCGTGAGAGCAGTGTGTAAAATATATATCACTCAGTATAACGGGCCTACTCTCTTTATTTGCTCTAGTTTAGTAGATAACTACAAACAAAGAGTCGATATTTTTCTAAAACCATTTAGTGCTTCACATAATAAAATACACAACGGCTGTAGCCTGATTATATGCTTTAGGAGCTGTGTGTGTGTGTGTGTGTGTGTGTGTGTGTGTGTGTGTGTGTGTGTGTGTGTGTGTGTGTGTGTGTGTGTGTGTGTGTGTGTGTGTGTGTGTGTGTGTGTGTGTGTGTGTGTGTGTGTGTGTGTGTGTGTGTGTGTGTGTGTGTGTGTGTGTGTGTGTGTGTGTGTGTGTGTGTGTGTGTGTGTGTGTGTGTGTGTGTGTGTGTGTGTGTGTGTGTGTGTGTGTGTGTGTGTGTGTGTGTGTGTGTGTGTGTGTGTGTGTGTGTGTGTGTGTGTGTGTGTGTGTGTGTGTGTGTGTGTGTGTGTGTGTGTGTGTGTGTGTGTGTGTGTGTGTGTGTGTGTGTGTGTGTGTGTGGCCTGTTACTGTCTCATTATACCGCACGGTGAATGAATTAAAAGTAAATATATAAGTCGTCATGACCACATCTGTCCATCAGACAGAGGGCTGCTGTGCCTCCTGTCATCATTAATGGACGTCTCTTTAAAATGACCGCTCAGAGGAGAGGAGTTCTCATTTCTCTAACCGCCTGCTGCTTCCCCTCCTCTCTCCTCGGTTCCCCTCCTCGACTCCTCCGTTCGCATCTCCTGTGGGCGGGACTAAGTCTCGAGGATAGGAGTCGAGGATAGGAGTCGAGGAGGGGAGTTAGAGAAATGAGAACGGGCCCGTGTCAACAGGAGTGACAGTCCGCACACACACAAGACCGCAATTATGGCAGAAGCAAAAAAGCCCAACATAGGCCTATATCATTTTCACTCCGAGTGGGAGGATAATTATTTTTGTATCTATTCCAATTCAAAGTCCATCTGTCTCATCTGCAATGCGAGCGTGGCTTTATCGAAGAAGGGTAATTTAGGAGCGGCATTTCAAAACAGTGCACAAACGCTACGAGACGGAATTCCCTCCTGATTCTGCCCTACGCTCCAAAAGGGGAGGGGCCTGAGAGCACAGCTAAATGCACAGCAGTCCATTTTCACCAGGCCCAACAACAAGAGCAAGGCTGCTACCATAGCACCTTATCGTGTCAGTCACGTTCTTGCGAAACACATGAAGTCTTTCAAAGACGGCGAAGTTGTGAAAGAAGCTTTCCTGGAGGCTGCCGACGCGCTTTTGGGGGACAGTAAAAATAACAGTAGCATTTCAACAGGTTTTTGATATAATAAAAACTCAAGTTAGATACCGTTATTAATCAGCTGTAAGTTTTAGTTTGTTTGAACTTATTCATTATAATTATTGTACACAATGGTATAAGAATGCAAACATTCAGATCTGTTCTGTTTAAATTGATTATAGTCTATCAATTCAGGTTAAGAAACTAGTGTTGCTTGCAAGGCATTTATTTTTATACTCTACTAAAATGCAACTAAAAAAGGGTTTGATTCTATTAATGTTGTCTTTTTTATTGCACTTTGGCAGCAGATTCCTGTGTAGCTTCAGATCTGAGTTGTCTTATTAGTAAGCCTAATTTATACTTTTGTAGCAACACTATTTTTATATAATGGCAAAGAAAGGGTTCAGAGTCTTTTCTTTTTTCCCTGTGTCATATGTGGCAGCACTGTTCAATGTTTCTTGAAAACATTACCCACTGTAGTATGTGACGTTTGATTAAACTCCAACTCTGTATCAACAACAATTGTGTAACTTCAGTTAAATACTTGTATGTGTGTAGATTAGAAAGAGGTAAGATAAAGGATCTGCAGTATTTATGAAGTATTCATCGTACAAAGGTCAGTTTTATACAAGTAGAAGTGTGTATTTACCTGGTAGTAGGCTAGGCTGTCAGTAATGGCTATGCCTCTCTATTTGAACTGGTAGATCTCGGCAGACTGGCAACTTTAAAAGTAGCTCTCGGTTCAAAAAAGGTTGGGCACCTCTGATGTAGAGCTTCAGCCTTCAGGCCTTTAATTTTTTGTAATTATTCAGAGGGATGTAAATTGGTGTAAAATGTCTGTTACCAAAAAGAAAATAAATGTTAACAGTATAATGTGTGTTAAGGTGGTGTAGAATGAGGCTACACCCCTGACGCGCCTCAGGCTGTAGCGTGTTCCAGTCGACTGGAATGAATCGCAACTCGTGATCCCCCATTCTCAGCAGCGCCAGGCCTTAAAAGATGCTTTCCCCCCAATAATCCCTCTCTCTCTCTCAGCAGCTTGTAGTGTAGTGTAGTGTTAGCTGCAGCTTCAGCCCATATTCACTATTTTGCAGGCATACAGTTTTAGAGTAAAGAAACACATGAGTCCTTGGAATAATTGCTAATTTAACTTTCTTTTTTTTTTTAACAAAATTCAAAATGAATAAGGTTTCAGCTCTGCAAAAAAAGAAAAGAAAAGATTTTATACCTTACTTTCTAGGATTTGTAATATTTTTATATTGCACCGTCCATCTTGTATCATTTACAGCTCAAACTGCTCAGGAAACCCACTCTACCAGGGTTCGTCGGGCTCTTGGTAAGAAAATCTATGTATTTATATATATATTTATATTTGTTTAGCATACTTTTTTGTATTTTGAATGACCCTCATACTCCGGTATATCTTTGTTTTATTTTTCTAATCTGTGTGTACTCACGAATGTCACGGCTCATTTTCACATTTAAAAAGTGTGAGTAATCAATTTGTGCCAGGCAAATGTGAGAGTGTTTTTCTCTCTAGTCCTTTTGTGTTGTTGGCACTAAGTAGCCTACCATGTAACTGCCATTAAGAGTTCAAACAATCTGGGTGCTGTACTCCAGCAACAAGCTAGTTGTTTTGGGTAACAGATTTTGTCAGTTATATGTGTGTTTCTTGCTCTTTTTTTTAGAGAACGAGACAGAATGTGTCTCACCACAGTCCTCTGAGTTTCCTGAGGGCTTTTTCACGGTGCAGGAGAGGAAGGATGGAGGGCTAGTTATATATTTCATGATTATTTTCTACATGTTTCTGGCTGTAGCAATAATCTGCGACGATTACTTCTTGCCTTCCTTAGAAGTGATCAGTGAACGTAAGTGACATTAAAATAATTTCATCATAACATGAACTGTAATTATGGGAGTAATAAGGATTATAAATGATTACTAGGCAAACTTCACAGGATTAGGTTGCTCAGAATACTCTAAATACGTGGAGAGAGTTTGTAAAAGTCCATTCATGTTATATGCATATGTTTAAATTAATGCTGTCAAAATTATCGCGTTAACGGCGGTAATTAATTTTTTGAATTAATTGCGTTAAAATATTTAACGCATTTAACGCATGTGCAGAATGGCCCAACCCCATACATCCCACCAGTGGCAGCGCCAGGGTATGGCTTAGCCCCACCATGAAAAATGATGTTAAAGTAAGCGAAATAAAGTCTGCCAACTCGCGCCGAGAATTGCACAGACAGCAGTTAGTAAGATTGATTTCAGTAGCCACTTGTCTGGAAATACCGAAGACCAGAAACGGTTTTGAAAACTTTTGTCACGTAGTGATCGTCTTCTCAATAGAACATCTTTGATAATGTCTTCTGACCAATCAGAATCAAGATAACGGGGCGTGGTGTTGTTGCAGGAAGTCCCGACGGAGAATACTTTTGCTGTAGTACAGGGGTGCACATAACTGGTACGCAGGTTATGTGCGTAATCTGAAATGCGTACCGTCACTTGTGTCACAAAGCGCATTTGCGTACCGACGTACTTGTGAAGCTTTTCCAGAAGGCGGTTAGATCACCGGACGACAGAGTCGGTCTCCGTGTGCACAGATAGGGCTGCTGTTAACGTCGGTCTGTACAACGGAATTGTGCCAAAACTACGCCAACCGGCTGCGGAGGGAGACTCCCCCCCTTCACTGGAGAACTGCGCTAAAACAGCTGATCACAACGTTCACACTCTGTGGTCACAAAGTACTCCACTAGCCCCCCCCCCGTCGACTTTCCTGAAGTACTCCCCCGTTGATATAAATCAACACGTAATGAATTAAGACCCCACGGTTTGATGATTGATAGGTGTGTGGGCTGTCTTTCATTTTGACACACAGAACAATGTTATAATAAACATAGATACTGTATGTTAAATGGATATATCCGCCTTCTTTCATTTATCTTTCCATTCCCACAACAATATACATAAATAAATGGCATATTTTGGACATAGTTCGAATGGTGATTAATCATGATTAATTAATTTTTAAGCTGTGATTAATCTGATTAACAATGTTAATCGTTTGACAGCACTAGTTTAAATGTTTGGACAGTGTTTTAGATTTGTATGTATGTTTTCATCATTGATTAATATGTAGATTATTTTTCAATCAATCTGCGTCCCTCAGGTCTGGGACTGTCTCAGGATGTAGCAGGAGCCACCTTTATGGCAGCTGGGAGTTCTGCACCTGAACTGGTCACAGCCTTTCTGGGTAATCGTGCAGTAATATAACAATCATTACAACCAGCATCATCTTCACTGTCACGATGTAATTTCCTCATCCAATGAACTGTGACTCCACCACCATATGTGAACACAAAGAGGCAGTGACCTTTTCATTATTTGTTTTACTTTCAGCAGCTTATTTGACACTTCTTCTTCTTTTAATCAATGCTCCACATTGTTCCTGTCCTCAGACCTAAGTTGTGCTCTTTATGTGTGTTAGGTGTGTTTGTGACAAAGGGAGACATCGGGGTCAGCACCATCGTGGGATCAGCGGTCTACAACCTGCTAGGAATTTGTGCGGCATGTGGACTCTTGGCCTCTATGGTACATTCTGACACAATCACACACTCGCAATATTCAGACAGAGATTAGCTCTGCTATTACCACTTGTACATAACAGCGGCACCTTTACTGGGTCAAAGCGAAAGAGTCAATGTGAAAATGTGTGTTGTATAAGCTGTTAACCATTTATTTTTGTTTCCGTTATCAGGCCGGACGCCTCACCTGTTGGCCACTGTTCAGAGACTGCCTGGCATATGCCATCAGTGTTTCTGCTGTTATTGCCATCATTTCTGATAACAAGGTGTACTGGTGAGTGTGCTCTACGATCTGGTTACATGATCTTCAGACCTTAACCCTACATGTCAGGTGGTTGTACAAGACAGATGTGTATTGCTTCTTGTGTCACTAAAACAACCCATATCAAAACAGATCACAAAACAAGTATAGTGAAGTACTATGACTCGACGCAGTATCTTGAGTGTTTATGAAACATTTCCACAAGTACTGGAATTACTTAATTGGTGTAGCACACAAAGACAGTGTTAGCTTACAAAAAGCACACAACTCATGATATAATAGCTGTAAAAAAAAAATATATATACTAAACTGCAATAGACATAACCACAAAAGTAGATCAAACAAGTAGTAGACCCAGTAAACGACAAGCTAACAACTTTTAAAATAGAGACATTCTGTAACAACTTCGAATTTGATCCCTTTAATTATGTTATTCTTGTTATTTAAGATGTATATTTTTTAATCACCTGCTTTATTGGTTATTGCCAGAGCTTTAAACCACATTCCACAGCCCTCTTCAGCTGGTGGGACTTGCTCAGATGTTTAAGTCACATGACCAAGTTACACTCTCTGAAGAAGGTCATGGGTTTTTGTTTACCTCCTATAGCTGTCCCCAAGGTCAAGATTGAAAGTCAAAGCTGAGTGTACATTCTGTTTACAGGTACGACGCTGCCTGCCTGCTGTTGGTCTATGGTGTCTACATCGTGGTTCTGTGCTTTGACCTGCGCATCAGCGAGTTTGTCCTGAGGAAGCTGAGCCCCTGCTGCACCTGTCTGGGCCACGGATCAGCTGAGAAGACTGAGACACATACTCTGCTGGGCTGGAGTAAAGACACCACTCTGCATGTCCACAATCGCTCCAGAACTGACAGCGGGATCTTCCATGACGACTCGGGATACTCCAACTTGTCCCTCAGTCTGCATGGCCTCAATGAGATTCCAGAAGGTAAAAAACACTGCTTAGTGCAATGTTTTTCACTGTTTTTAGCATGTCTACTTGGAGTCATCCACCTGTCGGTTTGACCTTTATGACCCCTGATGATCTGACATAATACGACTCATAACATTGCTTGTCTGCTTGGGTTCCAGCAGAGCATAAAAGCGTGTTTGCTGTGCCGGAGAGCGACCTGAAGCGGATTTTCTGGGTTTTGTCTTTGCCCCTCATCACTCTGCTCTTCCTGACCATCCCTGACTGCAGGAGGAGGTTCTGGAAGGGATGGTTTATGATAACCTTCCTCATGTCAGCTGTCTGGATCTCAGGTTTCACATACATTCTGGTCTGGATGGTCACTATTGTCGGTAAGATCATTGTTTTCACTTTTTTATTCTATGATGAGCTTGTCAAAAATCTGTACCTTCCCCCAGTGTTTTCCCTTTAGTTGTAGGTATAAATCATCCGGTCACGCACCAGGCCTTTGTGGATCACAAGTGTTTGAAACTTGTGAGAAAAAACCGTCTGATTCGCAGAGTAGAATCACATGTTGGTCTGCTGGCTAATTCCTGAGATGCCATTATCCTAGAAAGTTAAGAGGGGGGTTATTGTAGCTCCAGTGAGGCATGTGCGTAAACCGGGATTACTGCCTGCTTCACCCCTAAGGAAACAGTCATGTGAGCCATGGGTATACACAGAACAACCCACAGGCACAAGTCTATGTAACTGACCTAGAGTCAGGCTGAAAGGACAGCTCCATCATGTGATGGTGGTAGGTCTACTTAAGTATAAAGAGATTATTATCCTGTAGTTGTCAGATAGGCTCCTTCAAGGAGAATTCAGTTTTATGAATGCAGGCATGAGGCCAAAGTACAACTCGACCATGCAGTACGTTATTGATAATATTGGGAACACTTCCATGTCTGCAGTTAGATGTCAAAATGTGGTTAATATTTGGGTATTACTGGAGCATAGGAGTAACTAAAAAAACATGACCCACAATGGCTTCGAATCATTTAAAGCTGCCTTTGGAGATACAATTATATGTTTTTAAAAGCTCAAAACAAGTTAAGTTAGTGGCTAATTTGAATTGTCTAAATTTGGAGGGGATGCACTCGTTCTCAGGTTATGCTTGGGGAATTTGGTTTTGTGACCTCAGTATTTCTAAAATCCTGCTATGACCCTGGCTCTAGATTATTGAATAACCCTATAGCAACAGTTAAGATCAGCTGATGTTCTCTCTTTAGCTTTATGTTGTTGGAGGGGGGCTCATTCTTACTGTGTTCTTTTTTTAACAGGAGAGACCCTTGGCATTCCTGATACAGTTATGGGACTCACTCTGCTTGCTGCTGGGACCAGTATACCTGACACCATAGCCAGTGTAATGGTAGCCAGAGAAGGTAAACATTTCATTTCTTAAACAATTCTACACATGTAAATGAAAGTATGGTTTAGGCATTAACTTTGAACAATCAGGCATTTTAAAACTGAAGAAGAACATGTAAATACATTCTGTATGAAAAGAGACTTGAAATTGTTTTCTGTGTTTTAGGGAAAGCTGACATGGCCATGTCCAACATTGTGGGCTCTAATGTTTTTGATATGTTGTGCCTGGGCCTGCCCTGGTTCATCAAGACTGCCTTTGTGGATACCAACAACCCTGTAGAGGTCAACAGCAGCGGACTGCTCTTCATTTCCTTCACGCTGCTACTTTCCATCATCTTCCTCTTTGTAGCTGTTCACATTAACGGATGGAAGCTGGACTGGAAGTTGGGAATCGTTTGTCTTTTCTGCTATATCCTGTTTGCCACTCTGGCCATCCTGTACGAGCTGGGGATTATTGGGAATAATCCCATCAAACTGTGTGGTGACTGAGATCTGATCTCCCCAAAACTGAAGCCATATTTAATTACAGACTCAAACATTCCAGAAACAAAACTAATTTGAAGCATGGTCACATACTTTCAAAGATATTGTGACATGGAAGACGTGTGCTGGTCACATCTCAAGAAGAGGATGATCTCCAGTAATAATATAATGTATTTTTAGCTAAAGGTGGATGTGTGCCAAAGATCATTCTGTTGTGTGAGCCTGTCCGATCCAGACCTGCCTTATCATACAAGGACCTGTTGTCACGTTCTGAGAAGTCTTCTCTTACTCAAAGCCCATAAACAGAAAAGAGGCTGCACAGGAGTGACAGCTGAGTTCAAAAGAATCCACAACTGACCACAGTCAAGAAATAAAAGTATTAACTAAACTCATTTAGCCCTGTCCTTCTTTTTTAAGTGGGCGAGATAAACAAAGAGGCAACATCTACACAACTCTGATAAGCTTTTATGAGCAAGCCTTTATTATCAACAAACCTTCCACTTGCCTTAGATTAACTAAAAAAGAAAACTACCATTATCTAAGTTTTTATCAGTTGTGTTTCCAGCTAACCTACAAAGCCCACATGTACTTTAGACACTGATTTAAACTGTGTAACAATTGCAATATAATCAAAAGTGACTTCTATTCTACTGAAGCACCTATCATGGATATCTGGGAATTGGAATAGCTTCCTGTGATTAGTGTTGGTATTCACGCCTGATATAATCCATGCCCATTCTGTTCTCACCTTATTCCAGTAGCTGCCTTTGTGATTACTGTGGCATTTCCCCACTGCATGGCAGTGTTGAGCAGATTCAGGTTCATTTTACAGCTGTAAAGAATTTAGAGACTTTGATCTCAGGAGATTTTACAACCACCAGGTTTAAAAATTAAAAAGTTTATTTGTTCAAGTAACTGCCTGAAATTAAAAAGGGTTTACAAAACAAATACTAGAGCTATGTAGTATATATAAACAAAACAAAAGTGGCCACATGGAGATATAAAGTAATTGTGTTTTTAAAACAAAACAAAAAGATCATTGGCAAGGGGGCTGAATGTGGAAGTGTGTTAGCGGACTTCTACAAAAGCTTTATGCGTTGCGGTCGATACGGACGTCCACCTCTCGGCCGTTGATCTTGGTTCCGTTCATCAACCTGCAGGCCTTCTCGGCGCTCTCTGGAGAGTCGAACCTCACCGTCCCACAGCCCTTTGACTTTCCATTCTCCATCTTGATCTCTGCGAACATTACCTGGCCTGCAGTAAAAATACAAGTTATTATGAAATCCATGTTTGACAAAGTGTTGATGTTTATCCTGTGATTTTCGCATTCATAATGAAATGTCAAAAAGAGTCTTTGAGTATTATGTAAATAATGCAAAAGAGATTCAATTCCTTCTAAACAAAATACGTACCGCAGTGACTAAACTTCTCCTTAAGCTTTTGCCATGTCAGATCATAGGAAAGCTGCAACACACAAATAAACAAAAAGACTTAAGTTATTAAATAACATATTTCAGCTTTGGAGAATCCTTCAAAACCTTCCTTTGAAGGGCAGCACCAGTCAATTCATCAACACACCAATCATGAACAACTCTTACAGCATCATTACCATTTATATTAATGCCCGGCAAGCATGGGCAGTTTGCCATTAGAGCATTAGTCATTACTGCAGCATCACTGCATAAAGAAAATGTATTATGTACATCAATGAAAGTTTCATTAAATAAGGGGTGAGGTTAGGAGATCTCTGTAATCCAATCCTATTTAACGGAAGTCTAATTCTCTTCTAGCAAAGTTCTCAATAATCTGACACACACTTACATTTCTAGCAAAGATCTGACAGCCTCCTTTAGACCCAGAGCCCCTGTCAGACATTCCTCCACCCATGTGGCCCGGCCCCCCACCTCCATAGCCACCAAAGGCACGATTCATGTCCATCCCTGACATGCCCATGCGGTCAAAGCCAGAACCCATCCGGTCCATCGACATGTTTCCCATTCCACCACCTGAAGTTATCAAACACACACAGGGACACACGTTCTGAGAAATGAAGGGAGCCATTTCATGTAGTTGTATACTTTCATACCTGCATATTGTAACTGACATACACTCATCATGATGCCTTTCATCCACCTCACATTGAAAGACATTTCACTGAAGTGTGTATAAACAATATAAACGGAATTGGTATTTGATCACTTGAAAACATTAGTTGTCACAGAGTCCAATGTCAGTTTGCACAAGAAAATCTGACTTTGGACCCATACCTATTAATAGTCACCAGACAACGCCTTAAAAAAGGGTCCGATGAGAAATTATTTAAATGATCTTGTGAATGCACCATAAGAGGTTTCTCTAACACCGGTTATTTTGTATTATGTGTACAACTGCAGGGGCTGATTTTAAATCATGCTACAACAAATGCAAAGCTGCTTGTTTGGGGTTCATGCCCCTTTTGAGCCTCCCCAGGCACACTTGCTGCTTTGGGTTCTGCGTGTGAAGCAGTGCAAAGGACCTGGCTGCTGGCCTGCTGGCTGAATCATAACAGAATTCTGGATTTTTTTTTTGTGTACAATGATGATACAAAAATAAATGTTTCTTATTTAAATCCTGTTGTTTGCATGCATCAATTGAATACTATTCCGTTTGAATCCAATTGAATTCACACCATAAATGGTCACATTATATCATAATGTGAAACAGCATTATTCCAGAACAAACCATGAGAGTTCTTACACAAAAGACAGTTTGATTGATGTGTTGCCATCATCTGCATACACGGCTAAATTAGATCTGTCTCATGCTTGTAGAAATGCAGTGCCAAAAGTATGTCTTCACTCTGTACTCACAACATGCACATTGTATTATCTCTCATGCCTGTTGTGATAGAAATCAGGATTTCTTTTTTTATTTGTACAATGATGATTTAAAAATATGTTAAAGTCTGTTGTATGCATGCATCAATCTGCCTGTCTGGTTGGCTGCCCACAAGCATGAATGTTAAGGCTTTCAGTGTGAAGGTATACAGTGTGTGATGCAGAAGACCATTGATCTTACTTCACTATGCGCCGTACACCTGTGTTCAGGAACTTTAGGTTCAGTTTAAGAACAACACATGAGGAGAGTCAATCCCTGTACTGAGTTCATCAGTTTCTCCAGGTCATAACTGTAGCTTACAAGTAGCTCTAGGCCAGTGTGTATGTATAGTTTTAGGGGAGGAATCTAACAGATTTAGAAAAAGATGTGGATGGAATATCTCATGTACCTAATCCAGTCCCCATATGCCCCATGCCTCCAGTCCCCATATGCCCCATGCCACCACTGCCCATGCCTCCTCCAAAACCTCCACCTAAAGAAGAGAATGCAAGTGAGTGCTGATTAGTTTAGATCATGACAACATTTTCAAAGCAAACACAGAAACAATCACCCTATATGAAGAACAAAAACACAAAAAGCTAACTAAACCACATCCACTCAAAACCAAACTTAACAGAATAACTTTTGTATTGCCTACCCATTGCTCCAAACGAATCACCAAATCCTCGACTCATCGGCATGTCACTGTGGCCAAAGTCTCGATCCATGCCACCCATTCCTGACCGGTACATATCTCAACACAGAGAGAAATGTAACATTAGACATAATGACCAATAACACAAATGTACAAAGCAATGTTTGTAGAACAACATCCTGGCAGATCTCATCTCTGCTCAGTAGGAGTGAATATGCTCACTTACCTCCCATCCTGCCACCTGGCGCCATGTCCCTCCCTCCAAAGCCCCCTGTGTTGCCCATGCTCTCCATGCCCCCAAAGCCGCCGCCGCCGCCGCCACCACCCATTCCTGTTGAAAGTAAAACCAAGTTTCAGCATTGGTCTCTCCTTTCATCTACAAAAAGATGACATTAGTCTTTCAGCAGAACCGTACCTCCTCCAAGTCTGTTCATTCCACCATAACCTTGAGCATCCATGCCTATGGAAAAAGATGATATCAGTCAGGCTATGCCAAAGCACATACTGTATCCATTTATATCCAAAGGGTATACATCCACGTAAAAAGGTACTGTGTGTACCCTGTAGTAGTGTTAAAGTCAGCTGGTAGGAGCTTTGCTCGTCTTATCGCTTTAACCCACATTGAGGTTGCTGCAGGGTCAAAAGATGAGCCATGAAAATGTCAACCAAGACTTGAACGGTGAAAAGGTGTATGTCGGATTGCCGGGATTTATTTGACAGAATGGTGTTCAAAATGCTGCCTTATGGCGTTTATGTGTTGGACAGGTAGTGGAGATGCGTCTGTCTATGATAAGCATCGTCTTAATAAACAGACCAGTTTGCAACACACTATGTCATGTGCATGCCAAAATATAAGTACAACATCTGAGAGATGACTGACCTCCTGGCCCCATGGAGCCCATTCCTCCTCCACCACTCGGACGGTTGGCATTAATAGGATGGCCTCCTGGTCCCAGTCCCATGCCAATTCCACCTAGGCCCCCCTACAGACAAAATATACAAGAAAAAGAGGAACGTTTGAACTAAGTAAATCACTAGTAACAATGGTACCTTGCTTAGTATAGGAATGAATAAAAACTAAATAATTAATCAATGATGCTAGGGACAAAACACATTGAGAATGTGGTGTTCTTAATACAACATTTGTTAAGTTAATTGTGCACAGATGTAAAAAAAGGTACACAGACATTGCTGTAAGGTAGAATAGATGTTATTTATTCACCTGTGTCAATTTTATTTATATAGCACAATATCCCAAATCAGCCTCTGGGGGCATAACAATCTGTACAGCATTCGAAACCCTTTATGCATTTTGACCTTCACTTCGGTTAGTAAAAAAAAAAAGTCGAAAATGAAAAACTCCTTAAATAAGGGAAAAGAGGATTAAGGCTCAACACGAGCAAATGAGGAAAAAAATAAGGGGGGCTAAAAGCCATCATACTTCTTTCTCACATTACTGTGCAATATATATGCAATTTTACTTGCATCGTATTTGTTCCCAGAGGATATTATACCTCTTACACTGACAATGTTTCTACTATACACAATTCACTGAGCATATATTACTGTGAATGTCTTTAATATCAACAACCGAAAGGGAGACAATGAAGTACTCACGTGGTAACTGAGGAGTTTTTTCAACCGGGCGGAAATCATCTGGGGGGACAGATTTCTCATCCTGTAAAACCACACAACACAGGTGTAACTTCATTTGTACAGAGGATGTGAGAATTCATTTTCACAAGAATTGAAAGAATCATACCATTTTCACATGCATCTGTCTGTCAAACAGCATCTGTCCATTGAACATGGCTGAGGCCAGAGTCAAGGAGGGATAGCGCTAAAAAATGTAAAACATTACTTCAATTTACTAGTGTGCCCTTGTGAAGGATACATATGGCCTGCACAGCCTCCAGAGACTGCTCAAAAGTAACGGTTCCCATCCCGCGGCTCTTGCCGTCTTTATCTTCCTTTACATCAGCTCGTTTCACCACACCAGCCATGCCAAACACCTCCTTCAACTTCTTCCAGCCCACTTTGAAATCCAGCTGCAAAACATCAGATACGGATATTAGTACTCATCATGATTAGTCATCACTATCTGGATTTGGTGGTTGTCTATTTCTATGTTCTCACATTGGCCACAAACACAGTGGTGCCCAGTCGTCCAGCCTGCAGTGCATGGATGATCTCAGGTGGGATGTTAGGGTTGTTGGCAATGGAGTGAGGGATGTTGACCCCCCCGGGCCCCATCTCCTGCCCATGCCCTCCCTGTAGAACTCCACCTATGCGCTGCAGCACACGCCGAGCGTGTTCACCATCAGGGTCCTTAAAAGAAAAATACATAACAATTTATTTCCGTTCCTGGCTATTCTGACAAATCCCAAATCAATCAAGAATCAATAAGGGATTTTGTACTAATAATAGCGCATTTCCACTACAGCGCGGTTTAAGCGTGCCGTTTTTGGTTGCGTTTCCACTAGGCGTAGTACCGGCTAGCAGGTACTATTTCACAGTTTTTCTGGCCCCATAAAATCGAGGTTCTTAGCGGGCCAACAACCAGGCTGAGTCGGGCTGAGTATGCTAAACTAGAGAGAGAATCGCTGGCAAGGGGGCTACAACTACAACAAGATGAACATATTTGACCGTGATTTAATTGTAATACACGTTTCAAAATGATGCCGAAGTAACAACATACTGATACCGGTTAGTAAAAACCATGAATGAATGCTTTGACAAGTCTGCAGACAGACGGCAGGCGAAAAACTTTTTTAAATGCATGTTTTCTAAATGGAGATCGGCTAAGCTAACGCAGTATATGCTCCGACCGTCCACACACACAACAACGGCCTATACAGACATAAATAAACCAGCGACTGTATTCGCCATGACACAGGCAGTCTGTGGTTTGTACTTGTTTAACTGTTGTCTAGTTTCTGAACAGATATGAGGAGCTGTGAGCTCTGAGTGCTAAGAGCTAACGGCTGTGTTGTTTTTCTGTGGTTCGCATTGAAGATGACGTCACGGCTCCGCCTACACTGCGTTACTATAGTTACTGCCCCAGCTACTAAACTGTAATGGAAACGCAGCATAAAGTGAGCCTGGCCTAACTATACCGTACTAAACCGAGCGAGGCCCTGCAATTGAAATGCGCCATAAGACAATTGTTAAGTGCAACTCCATGATTCACTGCATTATTTGGTGCAATTTCAGCGTCGATAGATCTTCACTAAACATTTTATCCGGTTTAAAATGTACAATTATAAAACTATATAACAACTATTACCACTTATACTTTTTTTTTTTTTTAAACGTGTAGGGATACACGCTACAGAAAATCAGTAGAGTTTACAGTATAATGAAGTCAAGTGTTTGTGATAGGACTATTTACTTTTATAAAATGAGAACCTCAAATCAAGTAAGAGAGTAAAAATGATAAATAACACTATATATGTGCCACGACACTAAAAATGCATTTATTATTACGAAAAAACAAAAGGATAGTTACTTCTTGTGGCCGAAACAAGTCGTTTTTAAAGACAATAAAATAATCAGCGTTTTCTGTTTCGCAGAATCTGCTCTCACCTCCTTGATGTTGAGTGGCCTTCCACTCAGGTCATGCTTATTCATAGTTTCTATCGCCTTCTTCACAAACTCCTCATCTTTGAACTCCACCACACTGTTGAATCAGGGAAACAGAGGACTCGGTTAACTCCATGCAAGTGTAACAATGAAAAACACCATCTTTTAAAAAGCAAGTTGATGTCTTACCCACAACCCTAACCAGGTGGCAGCGTCGGAGTTCAGGGAGCACACGTATCCAAAGTTGAGGGAGTGAACAAAATACAGTTAAAATCCAAACAAAGCAGTGGAACATTATAAATCTGAAGTATCAACATGCTTCTAATATTTTTCTAAAGCGCACGTCAGACATATTTTGCCCACGAGCTTGAGCCAGCAGGGGTTTGGTTGTGTTAAAGTATATTACAAATATTAAAAGGTTAATAAGATAATTTTCCAATGTTGACAGTTAATACTTTTTGGATAATAAAACAATAACTGTTTAAATTATTACGTTTTGGTAAAAACATTTAGCACTAATGCAGTGTAATTTACCTTAACACTTTTGATATTTTTGAACTGGACACAAACACAAATGTAGAAAAAAAAAGACTTTAACATGTTTATTTATTGCATTGTTTAGGATTGAAGTTTTACCACTAGCGCTATCCACCTTTACTTCTATAGTATGCAATTTAATAGAAAAACATAACAATAGAAAAAACACTACAGGATCTTTCAAGAATGTTTTGTTCCTTTGAAGAGAGATCTGTGCCATATAACATAATTGTAAAATAAGATTTTGAGACATGAGGGTCAATAAATAAGACAAATCACACAACCCACATTTCCCTTTGGAAAATGGCCAAACGAACAAACTTTTACACCAATTGAAATAACAACAACAAAAAGCAAAGGTGCACTCTTAAAAGAGTTCATTATGCTACTTTACCAAAATCAACAGGACATCTCCCTCTTTAATGAATATCAATCATTAGCCATCTATCAGGCTCTAAACACAACCCACAGTATCTCCAGTTCAGTAACTTAGTAAGACCCAAAGGATCAAAACCTAAAAGAACACTTGATTAATGAGAGCCTGCTGAGGGCATTTAAAACCTCGTGCAGCACATTGGCCACATCACTTACCCTTGACTTTCCTTCTGCATCCTTAAAGAGCTCCACGTATGTAACCTCACCAACTACATGAGACATACAAAGGAAAAATACCAAAAGAACAAAGGAATTTAAGTCACCAAGTCTTCAAGTCGCCGTTGGCCTTGGCAATGCCGCCAAAGATGGAGATGTCCAATTAATGATCAACAGTCAGCCCAGACCAACATCCCACCAGACAACACCATGCCTTTCTGGGCAGTGACTGAGACACCATAAGGCCAAGGCCAGAGAGAAACATAGCTACATTAAACCTGGGAAATTCAAAGAGCTTCAACATGATCAGTTTTATCAACAGATTCCATTCATGGCATTAAGAGTTGTAATCTATCCTTTGACCTTTCAAAAAGGCTTATTGAGGCCCCATAATTCAAAAATGTAAAACATTACAACATTTTCATTTATAAATCAAGATTCACCTTGCAACAGATGCAACAAAATCATTCAACACTCAATTCTACTACTAGTGGTTTGAGGTTACATTTTGGAGCTGACAATGCCATAGAACAAGTGACAATGTAACTAATTTCATCTTCCATTTCTCAAAGACATATCAATCCAAACTAAATTGGTGTCCATCCAAATACATTTATTAAAACTCCAATACCTTGTGTCAAACTATGTTGGTTCCCTTATATATGCGATAAATACATCCAAAAAAAGCTGCACACTAACTGACTACTGCTAGAAGCAGGATGCAACATCTGGTAATGGAGGGAAAGAGGTCAAAAGCTTCTGAAAACCTGAAAAGAAGATGAGACATCATCCCCATAACTGGAGACATTACCTTTATCACGCATTAGATCTTTAATTGCCTGCCACTTCATATCATAAGGGATATTGCTGATGAACACCCGATTCCTATGAGCCCCCTTCTTTTCTCCACCATGTTTGTCTTTGTAGGGATGGAAGCGGTTTCCTCTTCTGCTCCCAGAGGACTTCTCTTTACCATCATGCTTTTCTTTGGGAGAATTAGTTTCTTCAGCATTCCTACAAAATGCATAATGTTAAAAGTCAGAGAACAGTCTTTCTCAAAACCACATTCAGAGATCACACAGTGTAGTCTATACTTTGAAAGACCTGTCATACAAACATACTTAACATTTCAATGTGACACGACTTACCTTGAGGACACATGTTCATAAAAAGGTAATTAGGTAGCATAAAACAATCTAAATACAATTTGTATACAGAACCATGAATGGAAAAGTGCTCAGACACCTTCACTATGAATAAAAAGGGGAGATTATTTCGCTTAGAATTTGCCTTTAAAAAAAAAAAAGTGTATTACTGAGTTGAGTAATGTTACATGAATTTCAACACTTATTTGTATGATATAAACGATTATACTGCTGGGGGAAAAACATGTATTGTTACAAAAGTAAGTACTTATGGTGAAATACGCACTTTATATTGTCTCCTATTTCTTAAATTAACACATTTGATCTAGTGGAAAAATAACCATCAGTGTGAATAGAAAAACAACACAACGTTTAGCTTGCTAGCGTTGTTCGTTTGCACCATAGACTGTACATTGATTTGAACTAGCTTTTTAGCTAACTTAACCCCAGTTAGTTTTACATAATGAAACGTGTTTAAATAGACATTAACAGAAATGCTTTGGCCAGCTGTTAATGTCATTTGGGGGAAAAGGCTATAGGGTATTTGATATCCATCTAGTTGGAGATGTAAACTAAATTGACAAGAGTCACCTGACCTCCATATATTCCTGCAGAATCAGATTAGCATCCAGCAACGTTAAAGGTTGGCCCATTGCACCATGGTTAACGTTATAGCAACAGCATGCCATTTTGATTAATGAGTTAGACATTATATATCGCGTCATATGAGGCACATATATCACACAGATACATATAGATACAAATTGACAACAGATGTTCAAAGAGGCTAACAATAGCAAGTTAGCAAACAGGACTCCATTTTAGCTAATCCAGCTAACGGTTGCACTCGCAGGGCGGACAGAACAATACATAATGTTCACTCACGTTTTCACACCGTTGGGTGTTTCTTCAGATGCCTCTTCAGAATCGGACTTGACGGATACAGAAGACTCCTCTTGCTGTGGCTCCTCGTCAATAATTACAACATCTTCCATGTTGAGGTTTCCCCCAGACAACGCAAAATGCCCCGCTGTCGCTACGCAGTTTAAAATGTGGAGTGAGATTCGTGCCTGCAACGCGAGAATTGGGAGCTGTTGCCCGGCAGCCTAGGTGAATGCATGGATGTATAAAGGCTGAATGGGGGGGAAAACACTGGAGTCCGTGTAATTTGGCAAAAATAAAAAGGGAATATTTGATTGAAAAGATTTTGCACGTGATTGCAAAGCAGCATATGAGGGATACAATGTACCAGGAAAGTAAAACTATACTTACCTTCAAAACCTCTCTTAAAGAGCACCTTCGGGGGAGAGCATTGCAAAACTGGCCCCGGTAATGGTACAAATCTCAACCTGTCGTTCAATGGACAGCTTCCCCCCCCATCTATGTATATACTCGCATTTTAGACTCTGTTACTAACTGTATATCTGTAGACTTGGTATGTCTTAAATGTCTGGTTAGGATGTATTAGAACGAAATCTAAAATGAAAATTGTAAATAAGCAATCTGTATGTAAAAAACCACCTGTATGTAAATTGTAAATAAGCCATCTGTATGTCAAATATGTCTTATATGTCTTAAATGATATGATGAATTGGAAATGGGGGACCCTGATGTAAACAAGACGAAAGTCTTTCTCTGGTCTGCATCCCCTTAACAATTGTATGTTTTGAGCTGTAGGCTACTGTACTGTACCCAATATACAAGCTGTTAATAAACTTTTCAATCAATCAATCAAACCACAGCTGAACATCCTCTTATTATGAGATATTAAGGAAACATTTAAAAAAGATCTTGTGTTCTCAAATATATATTTGTTTACTAAACACTACCCAGTCATCAGAAAGCCATAGACATGTGCAACCATCAAAGCAGTCAGATCCATGCACATTTAAAGAGTAGACATTTTAAGTTTCAACTGACCCTGTAAGTTCCTGATTACTCTGCAAATGTTGTTATGCTTATGATATAGTGCAACATTATCCAAGAGGAATAACATAATTTTCTTTATACAATATGCTTAAACATTTGTAGAGAATCTGCTCACCAAATGTGTTCAGATTCCAATACCAAAACCAACCATTTCAATGAAACACCTGATCTTTTAATAAATCTGATGTACCCTACTGTTGTATAGAAAACCTTTTATTTGTTTAGAGAACTTGTTGACCTTATTTCTTTATTTTTTCAATAGGTAGGCTACCTATAGCTCTTAATGTAGCAGGAAAGTCTCAAGATCTATCTGAGAAAAAAATAACAATCAAGTAAATGTATTATCAGTTTATTGACCTCTTAAATGTATCGAGTAATACTTGTACTGAACTGTATGTTAAAGATTAACTTCCCTGCTTTGTTACGGGTCAGCATGATCCATGGTTGTCATTGACAGTTTGCAACATGTCCTTCTTTGCACCTACATTGACTTTTGGCAGTAATGGAATATAATATTCACTATGATTTCACATGAACATAAACATTCTTGTGTTTTCTGAAGGGGCCCTTCATATTAATACAGGAAGAGAGAAGTATTTATCAGAGTCCACAATGTTGTGAAACAGTGAAATTAAATAATTGCTCTTGAGAGGGCCCTTTCGCATTATTATATTACCTGCTGAGGTCCTTTGTGATTCTTCAACAGGCTTCCAAACGTAGAAGTGGAGTGGCATTCAGCTAGTTGCTATCTGCAACCTCACCACTAGATGCTACTAATACACATTGGTGCTTTCTGAGATTTTGCTCAGAACATTTTTATCGTCATATTTAATGGCTTTACTGTCGACTCCTGCTATATTTCTAATCACTTTGGAAATCTGTCTTTAATTACAATATTGCAAATATTTATATTTATTCTAAAAAGAAAGACCTCCACGTGCATTTAGTTAAGTTGTCGGCTATAGGATGATTCAAATTGCAGCAGTAAGGCTAATGGGGAGGCCCAATAAAGTATTATAAATATTCAAATCTTTCAACGCTAACTTAGTACTCTCTTGTACAGATTGTATATCACTCAGGTGTGGGGAGTAGAGTTCAATGACATTTGAGAGGATACCGCTAGAGCAGTTCAATCCTCGTTTTACAGTTCTCAATATCAGTTTGCTCCTGACCTGTTGTCTGGCTTAGATAAAAGAGTAACAAACTTTATCCGTTTGTCCTATGGTCACTCAAGTGTTTTAATACGCTTTATGCAACAGGTTTAAATGGCCTACATTCATCTTCCAGTGCCAAGAGAGTCCAAAGCACATCTCTTGGCACACATATAAAAGAGTGCTTACAGTCATTTTAAAGACAATTAAGAAGGAAATACTATTGTAAGTCGTTGAACTTCTGTATAATTTCAAATGAATGGACATATTCAATCATCTCTGACAGCAAATTCACTGTTTTGGATTGCTAATAATAACACACTCATCATTACTGATAACCAAACACTATTGGGCTGTGACCATGTCTTTACAATTGATGAGGGCAATGACGTATAATGTCTTACAATGTCATGGTCTTTGCAGTGTGACATCTCTTCATCTATTTAGCAACAACTGTCCTTGAAGTAAATGGGAGATATAAATGAAGTAGCTGGCTTCGTCGACAAGTCACAGTACAGCCAAACAGCAGGGCTACAAGAAACAAGGACAATATAACTTTGAAGCGAATATAAATGTGAATAAGACCTTTCTCCTCTCTTTCAAACTCCCAGGGAATGTTTCTGCTATTGACGTAAACAATAAGTGAAATAAGCTTCTTTTCATCCATTAGAAATTGCTTCACATCACACCCCAGTGATGACCCTCTCCCTCATGGCATGCCTTATCCTTGAATCAGAGTCACTGCACCACTGTGATTAAACCGACATGGCTGATATGAATTTGCATTACACTGTGTTACAGTGGGCAATCAGATTACCTGCTGTCTGCCTTTTGTTTACTAAAGTAAGTCTCTCATCCTGTCCAGGGAGCTTTCCTTCGTAAGCCTTTAAGCAGAGGGGCTAATTCAATTTGAACACAGCACACTGCATCAATTAAAAACACAACATCAAACCGGGCTTAAAGAATAATGCTGTGTTGCACCTAAAATACCTTTGCAGCAGCATTTACTGACCAGGATCAGTGAGAGGCAGCATTGTGTTGGCAAAGCCCTGCTATTCCTGTCACATTTTGGTGGAGTCATTTTTAGAAATGCCAAATAAGCCAGGGGAAAAAGAGGCGGATTACTTGTTTATGCTGCTGCATCCGTCCTGGTGTTGCTGAGGAGGGGTATGTTGTGAATGACAGAAGTGAGACTAACAAGTGGTTGCCATGCAGCAGGAGCAAGCGTGCGTGCTTCAGGAGGGAGACATAGAGAAACAGAATGATAATGAGTAGGAGGCAGCAAGAAAAGGAGCATGAGGAGAGGAGCTCTATCTCTGAGAAGAGACACATATCATAGCTTGATCCAGCCTCTCCCCTTGCGTCTCCGTTTCTTTCTAGCTTTTTGTTTGGATGAGAGGTTACCCTAAAACATCCAGTATGTCAGTGATGGATGGTTTAATGGATATGCGTCTCAGGGCTGCACGAAAGAGGAGTTGTTCACAAGAAACAGCAGCAACAGGTCTGTGAGGATGGAACGATAATGACGGTGAGATGGCTGCTTTTTCTTCCTCAGACATCCTTACTATCTGTCAATGCAGTCTCTGTCTTTCACCCTACCTCCCTCCCTTCCTCTCTCCTCCCTGACTCCCTCACCATGCATACTTGTGCAGTGTTCCCCTCGTTCTACTTCCTTCTCCCTTGCCTGTCTATCCCAGTTCTGTCTGTATGTACCCTCACTCTTTCATCCAAGCCCCCTCCCTTGCTCTAAACTAAATCCACCTGCTGCTTGTGTTCACGGGAAAGATTAGGGATGAAAAATGATGACAGAAGCAGACTTCCACTTGAGTGGTTACACCAATATTGTGAATTAGTTTTGTCACCGTCGCTTTCTTGTTTAATGGAATCATGCAGTCTGGCAGGCATCTGCTCGCACGCAACAGGTAGCCCTCTCTTCTAAACCAAACATACATCACATCATCATGAGATTTTACGTTTTCATTGATACTTCAGCGCTTTGCCTATGTTAAACATCTGGATATGCACTGCGACAAACTGTAATTCTATCCTGACTTAATGGAAAGAATCCCTGGTATTGGCTCTTGTTATTGAACCCATTTTCCTGCAGTGTCTTTGACTCTTCTGTTCATGTTTGCTTTTTGTCATTTTCTGCAAAATTCCCACAGGCGCAGAGTGAGAGAGAGATCGAAGTCTGCAGGCAGGAAGCAGTTTGATAGCACATTAAAAATAAGCTATTTTTAGATACCTGTAACCCTTCACATTTCATGGTCAGCTCATTGAATTGTGTATTTTCTGTAAAAAAAAGCTTACACACATTATGCATTAAGCGGTATATTCAAATAGGTTCTTCAATGGATTCTCTCTGCCCAATAAACAGCACTAATCTGAAGCCATCATGTAATCCCTGTCCAGGTAACATGCAGGCTTCTAAACGCCTGACACCATCAGAGGCGAGATGAGGCAACTAGATGTTGGTTTACCATGTCTAGCGTCCACGACAACCACTCCCTTGCTGCCATGAGCGGAAACGACATGATGGCGCACTCCCTGACTCTGGAGCAGAAGACAGCGTTTGCCTTCGTGGGGATGCTGCTGGTGTTCCTGGGGCTGCTCATAGTAAGGTGCTTCAGGATCCTGCTGGACCCTTACAGCAGTATGTCCTCTTCCAACTGGGCTGATGGCATTGAGGGGCTGGAGAAAGGGACATTTGAGTATGCTCTCACTTAACACAGGGAAACACACATCCATAGATGTATTAAAAAAACTAAAATGCCTAGAAACACAGACATGTAGACATATGGACGCCAATACACTTGCACATATTCAAACACACACAGGCCACAGCCCTGCACAACCACTGCACCTGACACACCTCTCTCTGTGATGGACCAAACTAAGAGACTGAAGCTGTGTATTTTTTGTATGTGTGTGCACTTTTGGTTCAGGGCCTGTGTGGATCCTCTCTACTGTATGTGATTACACATCTGGTTTGCGTGTCTGAGCGAGTGTGATGCAGATCCTGTGTCATTTTCATCGCCCTTCTGCCAGGGGGTCTGCATTTCAGCTCATCGATTTACACAGAAACGGCTGAAGCACCCTTTAACCCATACTTACAAGTTGAATGTCTGTAGAGGATAAGAGGTGGATGCTTTAGAACAGTGTGGGGAATTAGGGTGCAGTGGGATTATTCAGATGTATTTTGAAGACTCAGGGACAAGAATCCTTATGTGAACTCAGAGTGGGAAACAGAGCGGTTGCACCTCTGCATGCATAGCTGTTCTGCACAGGAATCTGAATGGTTGGATACAGGGTATTGTGTCAAGCTTGTGTTTTGTGGACTAATTAAATCCAATCTGTTGGTGATCCAAAGGAATGCTGCTGCTGCTGCTGCTGCTGCTGCTGCTTAGTGTGTGTGTGTGTGTGTGTGTGTGTGTGTGTGTGTGTATGTGTGTGTGTGTGTGTGTGTGTGTGTGTGTGTGTGTGTGTGTGTGTGTGTGTGTGTGTGTGTGTGTGTGTGTGTGTGTGGTGTGTGTGTGTGTGTGTGTGTGTGTGTGTGTGTGTGTGTGTGTGTGTGTGTGTGTGTGTGTGTGTGTGTGTGTGTGTGTGTGTGTGTGTGTGTGTGTGTGTGTGTGTACAGGATGGTCTGTTCCGCGGACACATGCAATGAAATGCAACTGAACAAACTGTGATTTACATTATGGTGTTACTGTTTCTAAATGATGCAAAACCAACTCTCAGAGTTTGGACTGCTGTTGTATTTGAGTGATGGTATACCGTATGTTGCCACGATTACATGTCTGAGTGAAAGAAACTGTTTACCTTTGACAGTATGTCTGTATAATGTTGATTAATGGACTCTCAATTATTCAGATTGTTAGCAAATTGTTGGCTGATGTGATCAAGCCAAATAACTGTTAAAGGGGAAAGAGGATTGTAAACTTAAAGGACTCTCTAGCTCTTCGCTGCTAGTTTTCTAATGACAAGGATAAACTCTCACTATGTGTCTGCAGAAGAAAATGTCACATGGAAAAATGGGCTGGGATGTCTGTCAGCCCTGGACGTGAACACCCTTTTCTCAGCCATCTTCACCCTTTCTCACCTGCGCTCTTGCTGCCAGACAGAGGAAGACAGGACAGTCCTAAACAGAGATCCTGTAATATGGCAGACTTGTCAAAGTCTAGAATGTTCCTTTGCTAATTTCTACGGTATACAGTTTCTCCTTAGTGCTGTGAATCTGCCTTGTGACCTTCAATGGGTTTATGTGCCTTCATCTAGAAACATAAGAGCAACTGTGTGTGTATATGTGTGTGTGTCCGAGCGTGTGTATGGCATATCATGATGACAGATAATTCATCTCCTGACCTGGTGCTTGCACAGATGATGGTAGATAATTCTCCATGATATAGATTTGATTCAATGATGTAAAATAAATAGAATTTCTTCACTTTGAAATGTTTTTTGTCAAATGTTTGCTTTTTTAAATCTGTGGATCACGTTTAACAAGGAAGTAATGTTTGTATCATACAAAAAGCATTACAATGTAGGTCAGAGGCAGAGTAGAGGCTCACAATTCCTCTTGATGGAAATGTGAAACTTTTTTTATCTTCTCTGCTTTTAAACACTGGTATTTGTTGTCCATCATCGATGTGGCCAGTTCACACTCAGAAGCCAGGACATCATGCACTCCTTTCTCGACACGTAATTTGTCAGGAATGCAATCATTATTGCACCATTGTCTTTGTCACCTATATGACATACTTATCTGAAATCTATTTCAGTGGAAAAAAACGCTGCCATTTTCCTCCTGTGCCTGCTCTCACTAATCTTAGACGAAGAACAAACCAACTTGTAAAAAGGTGTTATAAATCTATCAAATATTAACAGATGTGTCTGCTTTGCTTTGTATTTTTCTCGATGTGTATGTTCGCAGAACTTGATTTATATAAAGATAGAGAACCTCATCCCATCATAATTGTGAGTCACATTTTTAAAAGGGCCTACAGTAATAGTATGCCTATTTAGAGTAATATTCCTCTGCCAGCATCGAATATATATCAGGAACAATATAAACGATAAGAAATATTCATCTTTTGTTAACTTCCTTCGTATAGAGACACAGAATTATTAGGATATTAATGCAAAGCAGAATCTTTCTTACATGACCAATGAGTCAACTGAATAGTGAACCTTAGCTTTGCTGGTTATCAATCATCAGCTTTATTACCTGTGGTCTTCGGACCTCACAAGCTATGTCCTTGATTTGCTGTGATAAGATGAGGAGATATAATGGCCTTTCTATTACCCAAGTTATCCAAACAGCTCTGTAATATACTATTAATGCAACTTTTAGTACCGTAATATACCAAAAATAGCTTGAGGTGATAACGTCAATGAAATGGTGAATATTTTAGCCAATATGTTTTTTAATTACTGTTAGTATTAATAATAAGGCTATGTTTTGTAATTCAGTTTAATATAACTATAAAAATAACACACTACTCTCCTGATAAAATAGATTCTGCCCCTCCTGCAGATGTAGAGAAAGCGGAAAGGAACTGTCCCTCGTCAAATACCGTCATGGTGTTAAGCTGGACACAGGCTTGAAATCTTAATTCAAAGCCCTCAGATCAAATCTGAAGCCAGAGCTAAGGCTGGGTTGGATTTTAGACCCTGTTGAACACCTTTGAAAACCCATGGGTGGATAAATCAATGATTAACCTAGATGTCCCTTACTGCTTCATATCAGTTATTAGTGAGACTATAGTATAAACTATTATGCTTAATAATTTACTTTTAATTGATTTGAAACGGCCCAAAAATATATTCTAGTTTCTTTAATAACACACTTTTTTGCAGATTTCTTTAAAAAAATGATTCTAAAAAATGTCTTAATTTTTCAATAAAAAAATATATGTAAATATTATGGATAATTATCAAATTGAACAATTCAAAAAAGAGTAAAGGTGCCTTTTACACAGCAGGCGTATCATTTAGTGTTGAGTCCAGGCTGTGGGACAGTAAATCTTATATTTGATCACTTGACTTGCCAGCCTTTAACCCTACACCTAGTTATTGACTGACCTTTACCTTTATCATTTAAAACGTAATGAGATCTATTTATCTGTCACTATAAAGATTTTAGTTTAACAATTGTGATATGTTTAATAGGTTTTTCTATAACGAAGCATACATAATAATAAGTGACTGGAAATATTTCATTGTATTTGTGATTGACAGATAGATGTATGCTGATCGGAGTGTATGCCTGAGATGTGCATCAACTATTCAGCTCTCTAGGATGTAGTATTCGGTATCCGGACTGCTGGTATCTGCACTTTTGCTTTTAATCACTTTTTCATGTTGCAGTGAACAGCAGGGTTGAGGAATTCTGTATTGGGATTTTATCTGCATATTTTGAGCCCTTTGGACGTTGTGCAAATTACCTTGTTCTGTAGAAATTGGAACATATGCAGCTGCTGCCAAAGATTCAACATGTATGCTCAACAGATCTCAGAGGAGCACTGCACTCTGAATTTATTCAAGCACAGCATACAAAAGTCTACCATCCCTCAAAAATAAAAAAGTAATCACCTCATTCTCAAATTCAGACTATGGGAGTGTCAGCAGGGTCTGAGGATCTCTATCTGCAGTAAGACAACTGCAGTGTAGCACGAAACAAGACTCAAGAACTCAAAATAACTCCATATCAATCAGTGCTCCTAATTGTGGATTCACTTAAGCACTGTAATAATCAGTGGCGTTTTCTCTTGGAGGCCAAGGGAAGCCAGGCTTCCCCTGTTTTTTCGGATTGTAGTTATAATTTTAATAAATAAATAAAAACACTTAGTTTAGTTTCGGAAATTCTTTGTTGTAGTTGCTGCCGGCCCGTCTATCCCCCATTCTCATTGAGTATTTTACAAAGAGTGAAACAGCGCCCCTCTAGATGTTATGGTGAAACAGTAGATTGCACTCTCTGTTGCGAGAGGAGGCCAGCCGAAATTGGTTTCCCTTGGTGAAAAAAAAATGGAGGGATTGACCAATCAGATGAGGCTCACGTCATGCCCCTGCCAACCTGTGATTAGTCAGGGCCAGAGGTGGAACGTGTTTCTTGATCATTGGTCCATGTGTGAGGCATTTTGAATATCAGTGTTTTAAACCAGCTAACACGTGACTTTATGTCAGATTCCTGTGTTTTACATGGAGAAACGTGTGCAGTGGTTTGCAAAAAGTGCCATGTTGATTTGCAAATTGTGTGAAAAGCTGAAAACGTGTTTAGAGTTTTGGAGATTTGAGCCGATGTTTTGCTCTTTGAGTGTCAGTTAAAATAATTGTGCTTTATGTAGCATTTTAGTGTGTTAGCAATCGAGAAAAACTGTAAGACAGGCTACAGCCATACCAAGAAATGGCTTAGCCCCACCATGAAAAATGATCTTGAAGTAAGCAAATTCAATTAAATAATAAGCAAAATCCTAAATGTTGAGAACACGGCTTGCGAAAATATACGGGTCGTGTCCACAACCAACCCAGTCTCATGGCATTTCGTGTTCACCAATACGATTTTTAATCTATTGATTCGTGTTCACCAACACGATTTTCCCCTTTTTTTCGTGTTGTACAGCACGATTTTTTAAAAGCAATGAATTTCTACTGGTAATGTGTTTCGTGCCTGCAGCACGTCTTTTTCTCCGGTCGGGTCGTGGAAGACCGGAAGCTGTGTGGTTCATAAAAACATGTTCTTACTCAATATCAAGCCACAATTATTGCTTTAATTTTAAATCGTATAATTTCGGACTTTTGTTGCCGTCTGTGAGGAAAATAAATGGGGCTCAGAGCCTCAGAATACTGAAATCTGTATTTTTAAAATCTTTTTTTCCTTCTAATTTGTTATTCTTTTCAAAATAACACACTGTTATTTACTCACCAATAACACACAATTATCCTTGCTTTTATTTATTGGTTTAATTCCATAATCTCTGGCTTTTTTGGCGTCCGTCAGGAACTGAATTTCAAAATAAAAATAACCGGAAACAGAGGCATTTCTAGCGATTACCCAAGATCCTCAGCTATGGTTTAAGCTCGCTGATTGGATGTTTTAGCCGCAATGTATGCTGGGATTTGGTATTTATATGATATGAAATCCGGAAAACATTTTAAAAGAATAAAAGAATACTTAATTCCGAGTGTTCTTGTTTTTCTCTTTGAAAGTCATCACATAACGGCATTGTAATACACGGTTCGGCTGCATTACATATTACAGATCTGCCGTAGTTCTTTATTTATAGAGCCCTGATGAGAAGACCTTTGGAAAAACTGGAAGAAATGCCGCCGAAACTGAATACTTGACGTGGATCATAAATATATCAACAATTAAACAACATCTTCAATTTCTCTTCACACAATACGTCTCCTTGCAGTATCAACACTAATTCGGCTGACTTTTACATTTGATCTAATTCATAGATAGGTTATATTTACACCATAACGGTGCACAGCTGATATAAAAGGACTTGTAGTTTTTAAAGATATTACTGATTTTCTTTGAATGTAAGAATGTAAATACTGAGTCTGAAATAGTATAGCAATATGCTGTAAAATGATGTGAAAGCATGAATAAAACTACACATCTTCAGATGTTGTACATACATAAGTGTCCTACACTAATAATACAAAGTTATTATGGCTGTGTGTACCTTGTGTGCACCGCCTAGTGGTTAAAGCACGTTATTGAATTATTGTTTTTATGTGTTATATTTGATTAAAAAAACATTACATACTTTCATAGGGGGAAAGTAGAAGGGGGAAAGTAGAAGGTCTGTGATAGAAATATAGAATATAAAAAATCAAGAAGATACTATAAGTGATCTCTACAATAAAACAGTTTAGTGCAGGATGTACAAAGATATTAATAGGAGGAGGTGCAAAAGAGAAAAACGAATTAACCTTTATTTAAACATTAAATAATACTTTAGATGAAGGTCTTCTTTTAAATAAGAAAAAAACTTTGGGGGTATCTATCTACAGATAAATATTAAGCCTGACAAAGTACTTAACATAATTGCTTTCCTGCAATGTTAACTATGTTGAAGCACTTATTTTAACTATCAGTTAAAATAAGTGCTTCAACATAGTACAATTCATATGTATAAAATTATACATATGAATTATACTCTTATGCATGTAAATAGTAATAAGAAATGTGCAGAATATGACAGTTTAATGGTGGAGGTACACACATATTGATAGATGTCTTGTAATGCACTGTTGAGGAACCTGTGACCTAAGATTTTCATTCATTGCATACACCGTAGTTGTGTATATGATTATGTCAATAAACCTTTGAACATCTTGAAATCTTGAAAGGGATGTGCAAAATAGCCATAATATACAGTCTTTAATTAACTATTAGTAGAGAATAACGAGTAATGAATATACTTTATTACTCGTTTCCATTCATGTCAATTGCAGATAAATTGTTAGTCTTCTCAAGCACTGTGAGAAGCTGACCGTTGAGCGGCCCAGACCAAGCAAGGAAGCAGAGGCAGAACGTCCAAAAATATAACCCGACGTGGGCATTTATTCAACTTGAGCACAGGACACAGCCTCAATCCTGCTGTTCCTGTGCACACAGCCTCAATCCTGCTGTTCCTGTGCACACATCCTACCAGCCACAAGGATCTCACACACTACCAGCCTCCCAACAGACAGGGAAACAGAGCCTAAATACACACACTAATCAGCACAACAAGACACAGGTGAGGGGGGGAGGAGACAACACAGGACACCAGGTGCACACAATTACCCGGCCTGAAGCAGTCAGTCCATAGTGACAAAGTTACCTTCGTCACAAGCACCAACTATCAAATATCTCTCCTGATTGTTGGCACTTGACTTGACAATCACCTTACCTGAATTTTACTGTAACTAAAGTCTAATTTAAGGGTTGTTTATATTTCACATCATTAATCAGAATCTGCAAAGTAACTCAAATAAGTGTAGTGGAGTAAAAATACCAGGTTAACCTCTGAATTGTAGTGGAGTAGAATTACAAAGTAACAATGAGCTGTCATGTGGGTATTTAATGCTGCGCATTATGGACACAAGCGATTTTCACCCATTTATTAATTATATGTTTTACATTTGATAACACCAATGTGTTTAATACTGGCAACTTCTAATTGTGGGAAAAACGAAAAATGTTCAGTAGAGATGTTCCATAGAACATTTTGCGAAACACAATAGCCAGCGTGTAGTTCTGGGGGGGGCGTTCGATTCCAGTTTTGGATAGTCTGGCGTGGTTTCGTTCCATTTCAAACAGCTGTTTGACGCTCGTTGTAACCTTGGCGCACTGCCACTCCAACATCCAATCCCCGAGTTTGAAGATTAATCACGGGGACTGTAGTCCTAAACGATAGCTGGGGATTATGGGTAGTGTAGTGTCTTCGGCCATCCTAAACTCAGAAATGTTGACAATCGCAATGATGCTCGAAATGTCCCTTATAGGCCTACGTCTGTTTCCGGTTATTTTTATTTTGAAATTCAGTTCCTGAAGTACGCCAAAAAAGCCAGAGATTATGGAATTAAACCAATAAATAAAAGCAAGGATAATTGTGTGTTATTGGTGAGTAAATAACAGTGTGTTATTTTGAAAAGAATAACAAATTAGAAGGAAAAAAAGATTTAAAAAATACAGATTTCAGTATTTTGAGGCTCTCAGCCCCATTTATTTTCCTCACAGACGGCAACAAAAGTCAGAAATTATATTTTTATGAACCACACAGCTTCCGGTCTTCCACGACCCGACCGGAGAAAAATACGTGCTGCAGGCACGAAACACATTACCAGTAGAAATACATTGCTTTTAAAATCGTGCTGTGCAACACGAAAAAAGGGGGAAATCGTGTTGGTGAACACGAATCAATAGATTAAAAATCGTGTTGGTGAACACGAAATGCCATGAGACTGGGTTGCCACAACACACAAACTGATCGTGCTGTTACAACAAGTGCACGTTACTGATGCAATATGGTTGAGACCATTCGGGCTTAGTGCAAGGAATAGTCTAAGTAGTGGGGGAGTTTTATACACTAAAGGTGTGGAAATTCTCTGGCGTTATAATATCAGTGCGGCCGCGGTCAGATCATAATGCAATTTGAATAGACCTACAGCCAATCAGAGCAACGAAACGTTGGGTCTGCGTCATGCCTTACTGATTGAGATCAATCGGAACCGCCATTCAGTATCCCCATTGGATCTTCAACGTGTACTATCATACACACAGTTCACAGTTCACAGTGATCCCTTTTTATTTACTACAAGACAAATGTGCCGTTTTATTTCATACAGTTACATTTTGATTGAGACAGGGAAATAATCTAAACCTCAAGTGTGGCATTTCACTGTCAAGGGGGCGATATAGCGTGTATGTAATTACATTGCAAATACTGACTTGAGCCCCACCACTGTATGGGTTAGCCCTACCATAGATTACCCAACAAAAATACTCTGGCACCGCCACTGCAGAGAAGTAAAAGAAAAGCAGAGGGTTAAAAAAAAAAAACAGCTGTATATTACATTCCATGTGGAAAATGTTCTTTGTGAGCATGACTCAGTCAGCATCGTTCTTGTAGAAAATCGCAACAACGTTGAACTACTGTGTTCTGAATCTGATAAGCATTGTGAAATTGATTGCCTCCTTTCAATTTGCACATAAAAACAAGTGCTGGAGTATTTTTCTCAGCCTGCAATACATCCAAGGTCAGATTTGAAGTCATAACTCTGTCTTTCAATGTGTGCATAAATCACTGTGGTGTATCAGTAATAAGGAAGTGTACCTGTTAAGAGAACATTTCAAGGCACTTTAGAAGTCATGTGGCAATGAAAAAGTGCCTCCGGCATAACTGCCATTTCCCTCATGAATACAGCCATTTCTTCTGTGTTAGCCGACCCAACAACTTTACCTGTAAACACGTTGTGGCAAAGAGAATGATTAGAGGAAATGTTTATTCAATCAGTTACATAACTGTTATGTGCACAATATCTAAGATTAATTTCCCTCTTGTTATCACACACATCTATTGATTATATCCTATTGCTTATGTGCTCAGCCAATTTATTGGGTGCAGCTCAGAAGAACTGATTCACTCTAACACAACAATCCCTTTAACCAATCCTCCCTCCATGAAAGTTGTAATGTTGTTATTGAGTAAGTTTAGAGAGGGGTTGATTTACCTTAATGCACATTTTGGAGGTTGTTGTTACTTGTATTGCTATTGAACTATATTAGGTTTTATGGAAAACTTAATAATCTTCATAGAATTGATCACAGAAACAGATCAAATTAGTTTTAGCTTTGTCCAAAACAAACTGGCATATATGTTATTAATATCAAATCATCCCATATTAGTTTTAACCTTTTCTTCCCCAGTAACGCACCCTTTGAAGAATCTGTAACCTTGAAACTTTTCCTACATAGTTTTATATTCCTCTGGTGGGAACTTCCATGTGGATATGTCCTGATGATTCATCTAAAGGGCCAACGGGTCTGAGGAAATACTATCCATAGCCCCATATATATTGCAACAACAGGACTACATGTGCTGTTGCCTGCACACCGACAATAATATTAGTAATCAATTCTCCAGAACTCAGGCAATGAGCGCCTTTATCTCTCGTTTGGTGTTTATGACTTGGTTAATCGTTAAGCAATGCCTTTGTGTCCCCTGGGATGGAGCAAGGACATTTTTGACACCCCTTGTTGAGTTTTCTGAGGGTTGATCCAGAGAGTCAGCCAATAGCTGGCAGCCAGTGTTTGACCCTGGGATGCAGGGTATAAAGGTAGGCCATCTGAGACAAACCCAGTTTATGCACCACAACTTGGGAGCAGCAGAAGATATTTCTATAACCCTACCAGCATATATTTCATTTCACAAGGTTAACCACACCAGTTGATGCAGTGCTCTGCTTTTTGAAACACTGTTGGATGACTGAAGACTTTAAGACCCACACGTCTGTTTTAAATCTGAGAACCTCCTTCAGTATTCCTGATGGAGAGGCTCAACAGCGGAGAGCACGTTAACTCCGCTTATGATTCTAATCTGGATGAACCTCCGGTGTATGAGGAGCACCGGGCGGTGCGGCCCTCGGTGGTCAGTGCTTTTGGTCACGACACTTTGGACCGGCTGCCCAACATTGACTTCTACCGCAATGCAGGCAGTGTGAGCGGCCACCGGGCCGTGAGACCATCTCTGCAGGAGCTCCACGATGTCTTTCAGAAGGTGAGTGCTTGTATTTCTGTGAAGTTGGTAAATGTGAATGATTCAGGTCCTCGTCATATATGTTATTTTGTTATTTTTTCCTGAAATACATGGTTTGCACTCAGTCTGACCTTCTGCAGAAAGTTTTTTACAGCAGTTTTTCTCCCTGAGTCCTAATTTCAATTCACTGACTATTTTGCTGCAGCTTTTGTTCTGCGTCTCACCTACACAGTCCATTCACTCAGGTCAAAAACTCCAGAGTAAATCCGATCTTTTACAGTTGATTGTTCATTTAAAACGTCATCACTTTCAGTGTTGACTGTTCAATCATTAAATTAAGACCGAAAGACTTGTACAACTACAAAGGACACCGAAAGTTACATTCTGGAGATCAACAGCAACTGACACACTTAAAGAGCTTAAGTGCTTTTTTATTAGGCCATTATACTGCCTTGTGTTGCAAAAGAGTTGGGGTTATAGGTCATTTGGGTTTTAAAAGTTGAACTACATTAGCATTTCTAAACGGTGAAAAAACAGACAGATGATTGAGCATACTTTCTCTGCACATAATGAAACTATGTGTCATTCCAGTTTAAAACTGTGCAAGGCAAAAATGCCATACATCACCCATCATCATTATCTTGACAACATGTTTTATTCGTCTGAGAAGAATAAACAAAGGTAATTCATAGTTGTGTTACTAAAAATATGATGTGTTTAATTCTTAAACTATATACAAATGAAGTTACCTGTTCCAAGTAGTCTCAGACTTTTTCTCAATAACTACTGCAACAAAAATGTTGTCAACTTGTTGCCATAATCTCTGTCTTTCAGTAAATTAAACACATATCAGAGGTCTCACTAACTAATCTTCATAACGTTTCTGCAAATGCTTTATCAATGTTCATTCACTACAAACCAGCATGGTTCCTCTCCGAAAAGGAAAACACACCGTCCATCTCTTAAAATGATACCCTCTTTCTAACTTTCTCATACATTGAAAAATGTATATTAACAGCAATAATGCTAAAAGCACAATTATCATAAACCCATCCCAGTTAGGTCTATTTAGACACAAGTTTACATGTTTCCTTTCCCTTACATTTTCCCAACAGAATGGAGCGATCTCTGTGCCGGACACTGTGGAGGACGATGAAAAGGACGATGAAAAGGACGATGAAGAGGATCTGGAGTCTGCCGTTCCCACTGACAAAGGACCAGTAAAGTTTGGCTGGATAAGGGGCGTCCTGGTGAGTTATGCAGGGTCATGATGGACTCCCCGCACTTTATGGAAGCAAGCTCTTTACATAACTGTGACCTGGCAAGAGGAGGCTATGTGTGTCTATAACACAGCAGGGTCCAGGGGGGCTCTGGAAACTGAGTCTGGGAGATGTTTGCATTTACTCCAGTTGCTGGTTGATGATTTGTGCTACTGGCACGAAGATAACCCCAAACAGTTTTTGTGCTGCTTAGTTCTTGTACTTAGCTAAGTTCTTGTAAAGATGCTTCTATGTTGAAGTATGCAACTAATTAACATGAACTTGTTTCCATTTGTCCTTCTGTTTTACAGATAAGATGCATGCTGAACATCTGGGGTGTCATGTTGTTCATCCGTCTGTCCTGGATCTTTGGTCAGGCAGGCTGGGGTGAGTGAGATAAGGATTAGTGTTTGTCAGAAAAGACAAGTTACTTACAGTTATTTATACGTGCCCAAGATTTATATTACAAAAAAAACGTAATCATTTGATGTTTTGAATTGCCTTTCTCGCAAATGCAACCCATAGACATGTCATTCCTGACAGATACTCAGATGTAACCTAATTCTAAGTTTAGACAAATAAGGATAATAAATAGTCCTCCAGTCGTTGGCAAGACGTGATTGAATAAGGACAGTTTGAAGTAAACAAACATTATTTAGGTCCATAATGATCTAAACTCCCTGAAACTCTACTTAAAGGGCCAGACAAAGATGTGTATGTGTGTGTGTGTGTGTGTGTGTGTGTGTGTGTGTGTGTGTGTGTGTGTGTGTGTGTGTGTGTGTGTGTGTGTGTGTGTGTGTGTGTATTGAATGGCTTTATGATTTTGTTCATAGCTTAAGAAAGTATCGATCGAACAGCAGCTTTTATTCATGCAGTGTAACTAAAGGTTGTGAGAAGCAGAACTACGCTGCAGGCAGTTGGCTGAGCAGGTACAGCAGACAGCCTTAACTTATAGCCTCCAGGACTTTGACTTTCTCTGTCTTTAGAGGTGACTGTGGGGAGAAAGGTTTCATTTTGCCATGAAAATGTGTTATGCCTACGTATTTAATATAGTGCTTTAGTAAGTAGTTATTACAATGATTTTGAGCTTTTATCTGTGTGCATTTCAGGTCTGGGAATTATGGTCATTCTTCTCAGCTGTGTGGTCACCACCATCACTGGCCTTTCCATGTCTGCCATTTGTACTAATGGTGTGGTCAGAGGAGGTAAGATAATGCAACATTTTCCTAAATACTTGATTCTTAATGGATACTTATACAACAGAGCCACTGTGAAGGGCTGTTAAAAGATTGTTTATAAATGTATAGCCCAAGATAACACACACACTCATCCTGACATAACGTCTTTGACCGAGAGAAAGGAGGACAGTTTATAGATAAAGACACATGGCTCAAAACGTACCTGAATGTCACCTCTTAAAGCCCTTTCTCTGTTTTACAGCCCTCTAAACTTGCTCTGACATTAAATCAATAAAGAAGTGATGAGGTGATTAATCATCCACCAGTGTTATCTATAATGTGCGTGCTTCATTTTGTCATATTAGGAGGGGCCTACTACTTGATATCTCGCAGTTTGGGACCAGAGTTTGGCGGGTCGATTGGTTTAATTTTCGCCTTCGCCAATGCAGTTGCTGTATCCATGTATGTGGTGGGATTTTCTGAGACCGTGGTCGACTTGCTCAAGGTGGGTGATGTTCAGTGAATGTCTCTCACACATAGAAATGTCTCTCACACATATTTGACTGTACACTTATCCTTGCTCCTTCTCCCCACTTAGGAAAATGCTGCCATCATGGTGGATGAGATAAATGACATCAGGATCATTGGATGTATTACGGTGGTGTTGCTACTGGCCATATCAATTGCTGGAATGGAGTGGGAGGCCAAGGTGGAAGATAATTCTGGTTGTTGGATAATCTCTGAGTTTGTTTCGGTGAAACGTCCAACCATAACTAATCTGTTTTAATCTTCTGTCCACATAGGCCCAGATTCTTCTACTCATTATCTTGCTGTTGGCTATAGTGAACGTATTTGTAGGAACCTTCATTCCTGCAACCCCGGTAAAGAAATCCCAAGGCATCTTCGATTATAACTGTGGGTTTTACAAAACAATACACATTCATTGGAAAAGGTTTGACTTATTCACAGAGTACTCTTTACCTAAAGATCCTTCTCCTTCTCTCTTCCCATGCTCACAGCGAAAATCTTCTTAGAGAATTTTACTCCAGACTTTAGGGAAGGTGAGAGCTTTTTTTCAGTGTTTGCCATCTTTTTCCCTGCTGCAACCGGGATCCTGGCTGGAGCCAACATCTCTGGAGACTTGCGGGTACATTTTTTATAGAGAGGTTATTACATACAGTCCATGCATTCAAATTAGTAGGTGCTATGGATGTGATTTCTAAGCAGAAGGCCTCAGCGGATAAAAACAAAATTAAAAATTGTATTGTATGACTCATTGGCTAGAATCAGAAGCTGTTCTATTTTGATTTTGATTTTTTTGGTATTAATATCTCTTCATAGTCACCATTATGCAAGTCATGTCTTTGTTTTACAGGATCCCCAGGCAGCCATCCCTAAAGGTACACTGCTGGCCATCGTGATAACTGCTATCACCTACCTGGGTGTAGCCCTCGCTGTCTGTAAGTAGGGTCATATTTTCTTTGTTTTGTAATAAAAAATACAACCATTGGAAATAAGGTATTTATGTGAGGTCATGAACAAAAACCTAAGCAATGCATATGTTCTTCTCTCTAATTGGTCAGCTGCCTGTGTAGTTCGGGATGCCACAGGAAACTTAACTAACATCATCACCAGTTCAATACCATGCAATGGGACCTCAATCGTTGCTTGTGAGCTTGGATATGATTTCTCTTCTTGTGCAGAGACTAAATGCCCTTATGGCTTGCTGAACAACAATCAGGTACACACTCTTTTACATTCTATCTGCACATCACAAGGAGCTCTTCTTGCATTTTGTAATACTTTCCCTGGTTCAGATGATGACCTTCGTGTCTGGGTTCGGCCCCCTCATCATTGCTGGAACGTTCTCAGCCACCCTTTCCTCTGCTCTGGCTTCTCTTGTCAGTGCTCCTAAAGTTTTCCAGGTCAGTTACTCCCCTCATTTTTGTAAAAATGACTGCAACTGCAATGCAAAGTTTTAGAGGAACTCTGCAATGATTTACAACTAGAGCATTGATTTCAACTTCTGTCTCTTGTCAGGCACTGTGCAAAGACAACATCTACACCATCCTGCACTTCTTCGCCAAAGGATATGGCAAGAACAACGAGCCAATCCGGGGCTATGTGCTCACATTCTTTATTTCTGTGGCCTTCATTCTCGTTGGTCAGTTAAATTGTCTTTCATTTCTGTCAACTAAAGTATTGTACTATTTCCTTAAAGGTTCAAACAAAAAAAGTTCAAATATGGAAAAGAAGATCTATCTGCTTGTTCATATTTCATTAGCAGGATTGTTAATGCTAGCAACATGGCTAACGTTGCTATACAAAGCAAAGCAATAATTAAATGTAAAAATCCCAAATAACAAAAAATCCTGATCTCAGTGTTATGATAAAGGCAGTGTTGAACACCTGGTAGCATTTTAAAGAAGGCAGGTTTTAAAAAGACTTTTTTTATGACTGTCCATCTTGTCTTCTTTGCCCTGTCTGTCAACGGGCAGAGTTTCCACAGTTAATGTTACCGGTTGTTCTGCAACCTACAGATAGCTACTGTAATAGTTTTATATGAGTTTCCCAGTTAGCAAAAGGCGAGACTAGACAGGGCAGTGATGCGATAAAGGTCTAGGTTTTTTTTTAATGAAAGGTAGACGCAACCCAGACAGACAGAAAGGCATCTAGAAACCAACAATTTTAGCGAACCAAACTTAACGCAATGTGCAATCAACATTGACTTTATAATGATAAATTAATGCAACAATGTTACCCATAACCACCAAACTACTCTTATGCATTGTAAAATAATCTCAGTCGAATTACAATTAGACTGAATGTTTGCCTTTTTAATGTCTTTGCAGGTAATCTCAACACCATCGCTCCTATCATCTCAAACTTCTTCCTGGCATCTTATGCTCTCATCAACTTCTCCTGCTTCCATGCCTCCTACGCCAAGTCTCCAGGTGGGTCTCTACTGACAAAGAAACTTATTAAACATTCTGTCAGTGGGATGAATTTATTCTACATGTTTCCATCCATCTATACCTCAGTTTATTTAAGTAAAAGTGATTGTGAATATAGCAAATCAAAACACCATCAAAACATGGTTCCAGCCATAGGACAGAATGATATAATAGGACTTTTAATGTTTGAAATGTGCAGAAAGATTAACATTACCTATCACGTTTAAGAGAAATTGACTGTACAGTCTTTTCAATCACTTGTCCATGAGCCTGAAGTTACTCAATGTGTTGCTTCTTTTGTCATGCTTTTTCCAGGTTGGAGACCGGCATATAAATACTACAACATGTGGCTATCTCTCGTGGGCGCATTGCTCTGCTGTGTTGTGATGTTCGTTATTAACTGGTGGGCTGCTCTTCTCACATACGCCATTGAAATCCTACTCTACATTTATGTATTAGTCAAGAAGCCAGGTGAGCTGCATGTGCGTGTTCGCATGTTTGGACATACATTAATGATGCCTGCATGCTCGATCTAACCTGTTGGACTCTCATTGTCTCCCCAGATGTGAACTGGGGTTCGTCCACGCAGGCGGTGACATTTGTGAGTGCCGTCAGCAACGCTCTGTCCCTCTCTGGTGTGGAGGATCATGTCAAGAACTTCAGGTAAAGGTTTACATTGCACAACTGTGTACTTTATTTGGTACACTTGCACAATCTAATACAATTCAATGCAATAGCTCTGCAATACATTCTACCTTGATAAAGTTTATAATGATTAGTTCTTGTTGACAAAAACTGAAACTTTAAGCACCATAAATGTAAATCATATGCCGAACTGTTCTATGGGATTATATTGGACTGAGACATTGTACTGAAATGTTTCCTTATCAATGTGACATATAAATAGCTGAAGTATTTAAATCAAATGACATTCCCTGAATCCCAAACATTCCTAGTAACATCTTTATGTCTCTCTCAGGCCTCAGATCTTAGCCCTCACAGGTTCAGCGCGGGCCAGACCGGCTCTCCTGGACCTGGCTCACTCCTTCTCCAAGAACTATGGACTCTGTCTTACCTGTGAAGTGTTTGTGGTAAGATTACATTGTTATCTCATTAGTGGCAAATGCAATGGATCTTAACAAGGACACACATATTATCTTTTCTCAAATATTCATTTATATATTAACCTTTTATTCAAATAAATATGTACACACTGAGCAAATTTAAATTGCATTGAGTGCAAAATTCACATGAAATGGATATTCAAGGAAATAATAGGCAGGGAGGAGAAAAAAAACGAACTGTCTGGTTTCCTGAAAACACAGTTTAGGGTCAGTTGTGTCTAATGAATATGAAAAAGTTGTTTTTCATCGTCTTACTCTCTCGAACACACTCACACAAACACTTCCACTCACATAAGTATGTATGGTGTGATCCTTTCAGGGCCCGAGATCAGAGGCCCTCGAGGAGCTGAACGCTGGCATGGAGAAGAACCAGCTGTGGCTTAGGAAGACCAAGCGAAAGGCATTTTACGCTGCTGTGGCTTGTGACAGCTTCAGGGAAGGGACTGAGAGTCTGCTGCAGGTCAGTATGGTCATGATAACAACACATTTCCTCAAATGAAAATGGAAAAAGCCAGAGCTGATACCCATAACAAATCCATCCGCTTAATGTGTAACCTGTGAGTTTTGATCACAGGGAGACTGGGAATTCAAACTTTGGAGAAATAAGATTTATTGACCCATTTCATCCTCACCACAGCGAGTATCTATTGCTGTGTTATGACTCTGGGACTGTGTTAGGGATCTGGCAGAACATTCGTAGCAGGTAGAAAGAAAGAGTTAATAAGAAGCAGAAAAACAGTCTTATGGCTCTGGCCATTGTGCTTTGGAGATAAGGCCTCGGTTCATTGTCAGGATGATTTACTTCAAACAGCACAGCAGATTAAAAACTGTAATTGATTAACACCGCATTGGACGAGTCCCTGCAGACAAAGTGAGATCTGCTCAGTGATCTGGTCATAATTTCTGGCAGTAAAACAGCTCCACGTCCTGCTTGTGTAGGACATGTTGTCTTGAGTTGTTTTCTTTCTTTCACCAGTTAATGAAAAATCCAGGTTTTACAACCACAGGGAAACATTGTGCCTGTGTTGCTTCACTTAACTGATTCAAGGTTTTATCTTTATGTTTTGAGTGTTGTGCTTTTCCTTCCAGGCTTCTGGTCTCGGCCGTATGAAGCCAAACACATTGATGGTAGGCTTCCAGAGAAACTGGAGGATTGCCGGCGCAGAGTCAGTGCAGAGTTATGTGGGAATACTGCAGTAAGTCACAAATAAAGGAATGCAAGCACATAACACAATAACGTTACCAAAAATAAAGATATGTGCCGCACTGGTGTCCTCATTGTCTTTTTTCTTTTTTGACAGCGATGCTTTTGACTTTGAGTACGGGACAGTATTGCTGAGGATGAATGAGGGCCTTGATGTGTCACACATTGTGGAAGCTGAAGGTCAGTATCTACAGGAATGTCTGCATTAGTATGACAATTATGTAAAGGACAATTTAAGCAAATTGCACAAATATACTGTAGGTTAGGGTGAAACACAACAACTAGGAATAAGGAGGTGGCTTCGTGACAGAAATTAAACAATAAATAAACGAGTAGAGTGTGCACGGCTGTTGGACCTGTTACAACCCACAACCGAACAAATAACACTGATAAGCCAGGGCACTTTATTCTGTAGATTACTAATAATTTATAAAGGTCAGGTAGTTAACAGATATGATGGTAGAATAACTACCAGTTATCTGCCTCTGTAGAAATGTTTACAACAGCAAAGATAAGCACTAATAATGTAACACAATTATGATGTCTTTATCAAAAACAGGAAATGTGATTCTGTCTTTCAGAGGACATGCTGAAGGCAGCAAAGGAACAACAGGACAATGAGATGACACCGAACGGAGGGAAATCAAGAGGACTGTTCAGGAAGTCCAGGAAATCCTCTCAGCAAGTGCTCGCAACAAGAGGTATATCTCTCTAGAGGTCGCGCCTCTGCGTTCAAATCCTAGCTGACATTTCAGAAAGGCTTCGATCAAAGCTATCTGAAGAAAAGTTAGCAGATGTGTATGGTCTTTTATTATGTAGGGAAAGCAGGTGTCTACCTCACTCTGCTTCTCGTTGCACTGAGATACCCTGCATTTAACAAATGAAACAAATGGCACACATATTTTTTTGGAAACGTTCCCTCACTCCCATCGAGATGTAATTTAATCAAGCACTCCCACTAAAGATGTCTCTGAGGGTGTAATCCAATAATATGGTCCCTTTTGTTCCAGTTTGAAGAGCATCCCTTAAGAGCGGCCCTTTAACCCAGACAGCAGCGCCTCTCCATCGATCTGTCTTTGTCTCTACATCACACACAACACACACACACACACACACACACACACACACACACACACACACACACACACACACACACACACACACACACACACACACACACACACACACACACACACACACACACACACACACACACACACACACACACACACACACACACACTGACACACAAGGCTGCGACAGTTGTTAGTATGCAATCTGGATCCCATTCATTGTAACATTAAACCTGAGAGAGTTGTAGAGTCAGCTATTAATGTTGATTTGAGCTAGTTTTCCTATCCAACTTAACTCTCCGCACTTTGCCAATATATTAAATTCCCTCCTGCGGTTCTTATCCCTCATCCACTTCTCGTTTCTTGTATTTTTTTCTCTCAGTGTCAGTGTGCGGCCCTCCACCCCCGCAGGTGGCCAAGATGAATGAGAGGCTGTCGGAGGCCAGTTCTCAGTTCCGGAAGAAACAGCCTAAAGGAACCATTGATGTATGGTGGCTGTTTGATGATGGAGGTAGGTACTGGTTCCCCTAGGCAGCCTGCCTTTATGCTTCTTGCCATAAAGATTAGATTAAGATTAAAACCAATATGTGCACAGAGACACATCTAATTTCCTTGATACTAATGCCATAAAATAAAAATAAAACCTGAACAATACAAAATAATAAAATAGAACAGACAAGGTAAACAAGAAGTATTCAACTCAAGATCTGTTTCACAACCAAAATCTAATCATTTGTGTCCTGCCTAAACTTGATCTCTCCTCCAAATGTGCAGTTGCTTTATTAAGTGTTTGAGAGGTAGCAAACAGATTCTGATACATGCAAACACATTACATTGGCAAATGGGACACATCAAATACATATGTTTTAACTGGATTAATTGGTTTCACAATTTGAAAACTGCATCTCCCTCCCTCAGGTCTTGCCCTGCTGCTCCCATACATCCTCACTACCAGGAAGAAGTGGAAGGACTGTTCATTAAGGATCTTCATCGCAGGGCAGCCGGGACGCACTGAGCAGGATAAACAAGAGTGAGTCAAATATTTAAAAAATAATAACAATGGAGATAATATTTAACATTACCTGAAAGTAATTACTAACAATCGTTGTTAAATTAATCTGTGTATTATATTTTGTCTTTCAGGATGAAGTCTCTGTTGCAAAAATTCAGAATTAAATGCACTGACATCAATGTCATTGATGACATCCATGTCCAGCCCAGCCCTAACAGGTAATTGCGTTTTTGCAGTTATAATACTGACAGCAGACCAGATAATAGGTCTGTAATAGGCTACAGTAATAGTCAAATGTAATCACCTCACCCTATTTGCATATTATACAATTTTTAAAAAAAATGATATTTTTCACAGTCAACTCATGTTCTTATCTGCTTTCTCCAGCTTGAAGAAGTTAGAGGAAATGATTGAGCCTTTCTGTCTGCACGAGGGGTCTAAGGACACTGCTCAGGCTGAAGCCATGCGAAAAGAGCATCCATGGAAAATCACTGATGAAGAGCTGAGCTCCTTTGAAGAGAAGGTAAAACCACTAACACCAAGTTAAGACTTATATAAAGAAAGAGAAATGTGTATTAGTTTGGTTTTGTCGGTGCATTTAACAGCAAAGTAAGGTTGAAAAGCATTGTTAAAAACGTTTCTGCTGTTGTATTTCAGACCAACCTCCAGATACGACTAAATGAGTTGCTTCAGGAAAACTCCAAGTCAGCCAATCTGATCATTGTGTAAGTAGAACAAACTGTCACTGAATAGCATTTATAGTGCCAAGTTTGGAAGAAACATTGTCTTACATACTCTCTGTGCTCTCGCCCTGCAGGAGCATGCCTATTGCTCGTAAGGAATCTGTGTCTGACTACCTCTACATGGCCTGGCTGGACATCCTGACAAAAGACCTTCCACCAACTCTGCTCATCAGAGGCAACCACAAGAGTGTGCTTACTTTCTACTCCTGAGCACCTAGTAGGATATAGGCATCTACAAAGAAAACAAATAGTAATACCTTAATGATGGACCATGTTCATAAAGCTAACCATAACCTCAGATGATGTTATTCAGTCCTCTTGACCAAAACCACAATGTATCACATGCATTTTTTTTTGGCATTTAAGTCCTGATTCATCCTGTGCTAAGACACACACCTTTAAAAAACAAGTTGTTAGCCGGAGCATTTAGCAAAGGTAGTATTAAGTCATTTTCAGTCAAAACACTAAAGATGGGTTGCACTTTGTGAAGTTTCTGCCAGCTTTCCTAAAAAGGAGCCTTACAGGCTACCAGTGCTGCCTGGTGATTTTGTATGCTTTCAGTGAAGAGCAAGACTAGTCTCAATAAAGGGACATTTATTTCTGATTTTGAATTTCAAAATGTCAGCCTGAATGTGAATTCAGAAGCAGAGTCAACGTTTTAAACACACTGCAGCAGTGGACAAGTACAGATTTGTTGGTTTAATCTTCAGATATAATATAGATACAAAAACTAAAAACATTCTTGCTTCCTAACTTAGTCACCCCATTGAAATGAACAAAGGCAGAGACACATGTCGCTTTCATGTTGAGTGACTGTGTAACCTGCTGCAGTCATCGTAACAATGTATGTACATAGTAGATGTCTGGATTCAGAAGTTTCTGGGCAAAAAACACTTCCTTTCATAAACAATCATTAACATCTATTCTTTTGAAATGCAGTAGTAATGGTAGTTTGATTCTTTTTTTCTAACACTCCTTGATATTCACTGGGTGTAAAATATACTGTTCTCATAAAGCTGTTTACCTGTTCCACATTATGTTTAATGTTACTACCACAGCACACTTTGTGTCTAAGGAAAATATAGTGAATGATTTTAAAGAAAGACTTCTGTATATTTCAACCTTTTCTCTATCTTCTTATTTAAATATCTAATTGTGTGATAACCTGAAATAAAGGATTAATACAATTTTGAGCTGATCATATTTTCGTGTCTGCCATTTAATGGGTGATTAGATGAGATAATGTCACATACCTTGTCCAGAGAAATGTGTCAATAGAAGGGAAACCTGTGTTTCGAGGCACACAAGCCGTTTTGTTTTCAAGTACTTTAGCTCGTTTTATGTTACTCTGAAGTGAATTATTTATTTCAAAGTTGAACATTACTGCATGATGATTGTTTTCAGAACACTGTTACACAAGTATAAAGTGTAAGCATTAGCAAACTGCAAGTTTATGCAAGACCAGCTACAAATAGCCTATAACTGCATGTCTCTCTGTTTCCAAGTCAGAACAATCTGGGGGCATCTGGTACGGCTAATAGAGACATTTGGACACTGCAAATATAATAATAATATATAAAATAGTAAGATGACATTATACAAATGTTGAATATAAGGACAACATATTAATCCTCCATATCATGTATGGCAATGTTGATATATTCCCAGCAATGCACTTGAGATCTGGCTCTGACTGTATATTCTCAAGTAATGATCAGTAATGATACCAGATAATAGAGAAAAAAGTCATACAAATGTATTTGCTGCACAATCAGATATATCTTTCCATAAGCATAACCTAATAGCATATGAATACGTCCACATGAATTGCTTTTAGTGACTTCTGTTTACTGAATCTATTTAATTACAAGACAACGAGACAATCCATAGACACGTTGAACCGACAAACATTTTTTTCGTATTTCAATAAATATATATTTCTTTTTATATATATACAAATAATATCTTTGTTATTATTTGTTTCAACATTGCACTGTTGCAGTGTGAGCGAGCAGCTGCATGACAGGGGGAGGAGCAGGAAGAGCAGAGCAAACAGCTGAGCGGATGTTAGCCTGCAGACAACCTTAGCAAACAATATGACACGGACGTTGCTAAAGCTAAGGAACCTTCATCTACAATGCTCTGCGATTTTTGATGCTGCTCCACGTTTCGTAGGAAAGACATTTCATATTCAAACAGTCGCTCTTAACAAAGGCAAGCTGGACATTAGGATGGATAACGTATCTATTAGCATGTCAAGTGCTTAATGACGTTAGCTTTGCTAGCATGCCTAGCATTTAGTACATGAAACCGGGATGGTTTTACTATGTTAAGTTCTTCATCTGTCTTGTACTGAGCTCGTAACACCCGCAACACTACGTCTGCTATATTCTGGTGCAATGCGTAAGTAAAGTGAGGCTTGATATTGACCTAACATGTTCCTGTTCTTTAGTTACATATCATTGTGACGGGAGGAGGCGGTTGTTTACATCAGCAGCTCTCGCGAGAACTTTGTGACCAACGGGTTGGCATAGTTACAGAAAAATACTTACTTACTTTCCTTTATGTTTATTGAATAGGTTTTCCACCAAAGGCATTCATGACAGTTGTGTAGCTTTTATTAATACGATGTTGGAGTTACTTTCATTACACTTGCGCTGTATAATAAAGTATCTGTTTGAAGTTTGGGTTTTCTAGGGGAGGGGCTAATTTGGCGGTACTTCCAGCGCGGGAAATTCGTTTTAAATAGTAGTAGTACCGCGAAGAAACCGGAGTAGAAGCAAGCTTGAGAGGTTGTATACCTTGTAGTAGTCGGCTGTAGTTGTGTCTCTTGGTTAGCAAGTAGTGCGTCTTAAGTCCGTATAAACAATTTAGTGTACTATCCGTTTTAACTGTAAAACTTTGCCATCATGCCCGCTCTAGAAGTTAAAGATGCATCTACAATTTCTCCATCGAAGAGGGCAAGGACCGAGACAAAGCCTGCAGAGGAAAGATCTGTCCTCAGGTTTGCAAAACTCTCTGAGCATGCTACCACACCGACCAGAGGCTCAAACAAAGCAGCGGGTTATGATCTCTACAGGTTGGTTTTGCACTTTGAATAAAATGCTTGTGTTCTGAATTGACTTAATGACATTGTAACGTTTGCGTAAATTAGGTTTAGTATGAATATTGTGATCGTATATTCCTTAAAATGTATGTTTAATGACTTGGTATACATTTGTTCAAATCCAACTGTTGCAGTCACTTAAAATGTTTGGGAACAATAAGCTCATGCATCTACAGAGGTTGAATTTACTTGCTGAATGTAATCCTGTGTACAAAAAAAAAAAGTATTTTATATATTGTCATGTAAACAGCAAACCATATTTCTCTGAATTTAAACAGTGCCTATGATTACACCCTTGGTCCTATGGATAAGGCCATTGTGAAGACGGACATACAGATAGCAGTTCCTCATGGCTGCTATGGGAGAGTTGGTGAGTGTTTATCAAGCTGATGCAACTCCAACATTACGTGTTTTTCCTGCTGGGTGACTACAGACTGTTTTTAAGTTTTGCTCGGTGTATGTATATTCAAGTTTAGATATGAAACCAGTTGCAGAACAACACGTCTTAATTCTATCTTACCATTTATTTTACTCAGCACCGAGGTCTGGACTGGCAGCCAAACACTTCATTGATGTTGGTGGTGAGTCTTCACCTGTTTCGTCTACTTGTACTGAGTAAGTGTCATTTTAAACCTTTTGTCATGCATGTCATTTAATTTCTCTGATGTCTCTGATCTCCTCAGCTGGGGTTGTAGATGAAGACTATAGAGGAAATGTGGGAGTTGTGCTCTTCAACTTCAGCAAGGACACATTTGATGGTGAGTCGTGAAATTAGTGACGTACCTGAGTAACTTTTGTTTATCAGCAAAATGTACCCTTAACCCATTCGATTTGTATTTTTGAGAATTCACTATACCAACAGTAAACATAACTTGTTGAGTTTCAACCTTCCCTGCTTTTAAATTCATCTGTGTGAAATGGAACATTTTCCCAGAGTATTTTTTTAATATGCACACTGTTAATAAAATGTAATTGTTTCTCTGATTTACATACCAAAGCTGCCTATTTTGTTGTTGTTGCAATTTTACAGTTTGTAACATTTCAACTGGCTAAAAGTGATTTGAAAATAAATTGTACATCTAAAATGATCATTCAAATATTTTAAATTTAGGTTGGATTTTTATTACAGCCTGCATTGATGTCATGCAATTTAAGATATGCAATGTAAAAACCATTGTCTCATCTCTTGCTATTCATCTTCACAGTAAAAAAGGGTGACAGAGTTGCTCAGCTGGTCTGTGAGAGGATCTGCTACCCCGATCTGGAGGAACAAGAGGTAAACTGCAAGAACAATATAAATGCGTACATGCACTCAGTTTGATGAAGAACACTTTGCTAAGACGAATGCAGTTGTAATACCCTGCAATATATCTGAGCTTCATGAAAGTTACAATGTTCAGCTTTATTAGAAGTTTGGTATTTATTGAAGCAGGTTTTTTCCGATGTCCTCCGATTTAGTTTTGAATCATTAAATCTACTTTCTGCCTGTTCTTTCAGACGCTTGATGAGACAGAGCGTGGTGCTGCAGGTTTTGGATCAACTGGACGCAATTGAGAGCTCCAATGTACTCCAGATGTACATGCTGAATATATTAAATAAAGTTTTGTTTTTGTATTCTGGAGTCTTTATTTACTGGGACGGTCACATTGAGTTCTGTCTCATAAACGTATTGTCTGATCCTCTTCAAAGTTAAACAAATCACCACATGGGGCAGCACAGGACAATAATTGCATCTTGGTCTTATAAGCGTCACATCAACAAATGAAAGCTCCATTCATAGGTGTGTTCCAGAGATTTCTGACATGAAGCAACTGCCTGTAGCTGAATGTGATTACAAAGTAAATCTGGATTAAGGGGAATCACAGCAGTGAATACTTGTACACCAAAAACATGTTTTTATTGTGAATTTACAACTAAACCCTCACTGATGTGAACAGAGAACACAGACTCGTGTCAGGCTGGTCCGTGGCAATGCAGCACTGATTGTATTTGTGAGAGAATGTGTGGCCACTAAGACCTCAGTGCATAATCATGAAGGCCCAGGTTAGGCATTATCAATGTGTGTGTATGTATACACAGTTTACAAAGGAAGTAGTTGGTCATTATAAGCACCATTACAAACCCCTCTATTCCAGGGGCTTCCTCTAGTTTACAAATGCTTCATAGATTAAAAGTGGCATCGATTATTACAGTATAAACACAATTTACATGTAGTATAGAGCGCAGACAGGCTATGAAGCTAGCTGTTACTGTTGCAAAGACATGACATTTTCAGAACGACCAATGGAATTGTATAATTGTTGACTACTGAGTTTTGTATAGTAATACAGTGCATTCAGATGTCTATGTAGTTGTGTTGCTAGCACCAGTAAATATGAATTATTCTAGTCAGTAGGGAAGATGGAAAAGCATAGTTTAAATATGCAGTAGGAGTCATTCAAGCTCAGACATGGCTACATCTCAATAGTTCATGGTTGGTTCCTTTCCTCTCCTAAACATTCCCATAACATTCTTTCATCTACACTCCATGAAATGAATAACTGGAAAGAAGAAATGTGTTTACTTTCATGTATGCAGGTTTGTTCGGTTATTTACCTGAGGGGAGGAAATGAATTCATCGCAGACTATTGGGACTCACTCTTTCCTCTCACCTAAGCTTGGTTCTAAAAAGTTCTTTCTGCAGTCCTCATGCCCTTTCAAAGTGGCACTTGATTCCACATATCATCTTACAACGTTAAACCCTACCCTGAAAAACCATTCACAATCTTTCTAGTGCTTCACACACTGCTGATGTTGTGTGTTAGGGCAATGTATTCTTCATTTGCCTGAAATCTATCATATCGCCTTAATCAGCTGGCTTTTTCCACTGAAATTGTATCTATGATATGTAGAATCATCTTTGGCAATCTTTGTATCTATGATATGTAGAATCATCTTTGGCATCTTTTGCCAACCCTCCTTCTTGTCTCTTTGGTGGCGAGCCGATCTCCCTGTGGGAGCAAGTAGAAGTTGCCCCTGACTGCTGATCCAGAGTCAGAGATGTTTTAGCTTTTTTTGGAAGTGTGAGCCTGACACTGAATTAGCAGCTGCCTGCAACATCTGCCTGTCTCAGTCTTGTGATGGTTAATGAAGGACGATCTGCACCCTCATCTTCAGTATGTCTCCCAGCTGTCCTGTGAGGTAGTCTTTATCGTGTTGATCCTCCAGCTCAGCCAGCTCCTTCTTCCTGTACGTGGGCACGCTGCTGATCTGAAGGGAGTATGCCCCTGAGAGCAGGGCCTTCTTCTTGCTCAGATGCAGGTAGCTAACGCCCTCTCTCTGATTTATCTTGAAGTAGCCTTCTTCATTTCCGTAGTCAATGCTGTAGCGCACATGGTCACTGAGCGCGGATAAGGCCGGGGTGAACTCCAGGATGTGGTCGCGGTTGCTCAGGTCGCTGATGTTCAGGTGGATGTGCAGCGTGTCCTCGATATCCACACTGGCCAGGCTCACCATCTCCTCAGTCAGCTGCATAGAGAAACGTGGTCCAAGTGAATGAAGTGGATAATAACACGTGTCCTACACAGTATGTTTTCTTATTCAAAAGAGCAATAGTGAGATCCTTATTTTTCAGATTCAATCCCTAACATGTTAAAAGATGGACCAGAAACTATAGAGAAGGTTTTGAATACTTTTCCAGTGATAAATACTGAAGCCTTTACTACGCTTATTATTTTGTTGGCCTGAAATTTGGAAAATAGTCTGGAATACGTTTTCTAAACAACTCTTTAAGTCTGAATTGTTGATGTATTTCTGTGTCCTTATTGGTAGCTACAGTGGTGCATATTGCATTCAGGCAGCCAGGTCACCTGTGAGTCGTCCTGAGGATCCTCCTGTGTCGAGTTGGTGCTGCGGCGTTTGCGTCCCTTCTTGGGATATCCGTTGATCTTACATTCATAGCAGGCCTCGTGAGACAGAGAGTTATCATCTGCCTCACCTTCCGGTCCAGCACTGGAGCCGCCACTAGTGAAGCCCAGACCTGTGACACAGTGCCTGAAAACAAGACAAAGCTGTCAGTAACTTAGAACCATCTACAGAGAGATTTCTCACAGCCAGAGATGGGAAAAGTACACACAGCCTTTACTCAAGTAGAAGTACAGATACTCGTGTTTAAAAATACTCTGGTAAAAGTAGAAATACTCACTAAACTTCTTTACTCAAGTAAAAGTAAAGAAGTATGGACTTCGAAATGTACTTAAGTAAAAAGTGCCCATAACTACCAACTGTTTTAAAGAGTAACTGACCGCAATGATAAATAATAATGATCACGCCACCAAACACAGATCAAAACTAAAGTAACGAGCCTGTTTTGAAAATGTAAGAAGTAGAAAGTACAGGTATTTGTGTTAAAAATGTAAGAAGTAAAAGTAAAAAGTCGTCAGAAAAATAAGTAGTGGAGTAAAGTACTGGTACCAGAAAAATGTACTTAAGTACAGTAACAAAGTATTTGTACTCCACTACTTCCCATCTCTGCTCACAACCATGCATTAACTTACCCTTGTCCTGCACGGAAGTAACCAGTGGGACATCCACAGAGGTAGCCCCCGTCCGTGTTGGAGCAGCCGAACTTGCAGGGGTTTTGGCTGGTGGAGCACTCGTTGACGTCTGAGCAGCCCGCGTCTGTCTGCTCGTAGTTAAAGCCGGTGGGGCAGAGGCAGCGGAAGCTCCCCAGGGTGTTGTGGCATGACGCTCCGCCGCAGATCTTGCTGTTCTGACACTCGTTCTCATCTGGGTCACAGGAAGTAAACAAACAAGAGGTCATTCCAGTTAAAGGACACACAATGCTGGGAAAGCTGGCCATGAATGTGTATATGTGGAGGGATTCAAACTAAAAATAAAGCTTTAACTAACAAAAGCTCTTAATTTGGGGCCATACACACACACTGTACGACACAATTACTTTATCTAAGCCTGAATTATTTCTAATTATGTTCGTCATAGGTTGTATTTTAAGTGTGTGTATATATAATAACTTATCTTTTGAGCATTTATTTTAAAAACATTTCCTTTCTCATGACCTTACCCCAACAAGGGAAGGGTTGAACTTCCAGAGGAAAGGCATTTCTTTTTTGACATATTTATATCTTAAGAGTGACAGGAAAGACATGAAGAATGGATGACTTGTTTTAAAAAGGCTCGAGGCTGGGCTCCAGTCCAGAACATCAAGGCTGCATGGTACGTATTTTGGCAACAAGGCATCAGGATGTCCCAAAAGGAAATCGTTTGTATATTTGCAAATAAAAAATAACGGCAGTATTACGAACCTACACACTGGTTCCACTGGTAGTGCTGCAGGTAGCCTTGAGGACAGCTGCACCTGTATCCACCCACCAGGTTCTGACAGCCATGCTGACACCTGTGGTTTCCATCACACTCATCCATATCTGTGAGGGACAGACACACAACAAAACTACAGTAAGAGCCTACTTTTTGTAATGAAATAGCGGATACTCAAGTTGTTAAAAACTGTTGTCAGACCTTCACAGCTTTGTCCATTGGGATCTAATGAGAATCCCCGCTGGCAATCGCAGTTGAAGCTCCCTGGAGTGTTCTGGCAGGCCCCGTTGGAGCCACACATGTTGGGGTCGGATGCACATTCATTGTTGTCTACACAGAAGGAAGGTTCACACAGGGGTAAAACATCTTATTATATGCTGATTTGAAAGTGGATAGTCAAATTCGAGTCGACATTGGTTCCATTTTTTTTAAAGGGCCGGTCCATTATGGACTGTTCATACAAATGATCTCATAGTCTGCAAGGGTTTAGGAATACAATCTCTCACCTACTGATTCCATTTCAGACCAAAGGAAGTAATAACAAACATTTGAGTGAAATTGTGAATTGTTTACTTTGGGAATAATTGTTTGACAAAATAATCTAGTTTTTCCCGAGAAAGAGTCATTTAATCACAAACATGTTTGGCTGAAGTGACGGAAAATCTGAACCTAATTAGGAAATTCAAACAATTTAGCAACACAGACCCAAGATTAGATCAGTCCGTCAACACAATCTGGAAATGTTTCTTTCAAATGCAGAACATAGTGAGTGTAGTATCAAAATAAATGTTGTTTTACAGCTTGACCACTGTTGGTAACTGCCAATTAACATCGAGCTGTGTCTGAAGGGCAAGCAACAATGAGAAAGATGGGAATTTGTTGTAACTTTTTAGATAGCCATTTTGGGACGGTGTGTTTGATAGATAATATGTACAGTGAGGGATTTTGTGGCACTTATTGTTCACATGGATTTACGCCTTGATTTTAAGAAGGCATTATTGTCAGTCAGTTTTAATGAATACAGCTACCTTAAATAACATTATATTAAAGAAGGGTTTACACTTCTTTACAGTGGCAGTGATAAGGAAAAGGTATATTAGAAAGAATAAAAGGTCTTTATAATAAGTCTTGGCCCTTGAGCACCTGTCCGGGAGGAGTTTGGGTTTGGTTTCCTACACTAAAGCCCATCAGCAGTATTTACTGAAGTTTTCCTAATGTCACACCCATGTTCTCCAACCTCCTTACTCTGAAATGAATAACACGTCTGCTGTATGTCATTAGTCTGCTGTTGCTCCTTT